AGATAAATACTATGGAGCATCTTGGGCTGATGCCTGGGGTTTGTTGGCAGAACAAGTTCTTGCTGCATTTGGCTGCACTAGTCACTGTGGGTTACTCCATTTACCGGTTAACAGCATGCATTAAAACCCATAGAGAATTTTCTAGCTGCTGCTCTGTTTCACTCCTCAAAGACCTAATAGTAGTTGATTGGCAAGAGAAGGAAATGATGGAGAGCTGTGTCAAAACCCCTCGTTATTTTTGGCTTCCTGTAATCTCTGCTCCTCAAACGTATCGGAGGCACCTTTCCTGCTTCAAACATTGCAAAATGTGGCTGTGAATACTGTACTTATATTTAATACTATTTGCCTATTCATTATGGCTGTGAAGATAATAAGGCACAGCCTGCTGGGGTTGTCTCGTTCTTTATTGCCTCAGTAGATGGCACTGACATGTTCGTTTGACTGATTGCTTTATGTGTTGTATCAGCTGTGATGTTGGTTTAGATTAGTTAATAGTCTGTCTTAAGATTTTGCCAAGATGAATATGAATTAAAACGGGGGAGGAAGAACAGGAGAGGACTACCCATAACTTACCAAGTATTCACTCTGGTATGATCCGTCTTTGTGTCGATCACAAAGAGATCCTCGAGGAGGCTGTTAGGCTGCGCTGAATGCTGGGGCTCTTCAGCTGATCCGTGCTGCAGCCACCCGTGGTGATGTGAGCAGCAGCGGGAGGCTTCTTGGACACGTTGGAGCTCCAGAACTTCACCCTGTCCCCCTGCAATGGGTTTGGTTTATTGTAACTGCATATCTTATTGTTTTATTGCAAGCACATTTGGTTTATTATAACTGCCTTTTGATACAGAAGCAATCAGGGTTTGTGAGCGATGCGAGGGATGCAGCAAGGTACCATCGGTCACAACGCACCCGGTTCTGACCGTGCTAACAAAGCTCTTTGCCAGCCAACTGTTTAATCTGGTGGTGTTCATGTGAAGGCAGGTGGGAAGGGAGTAGGATTTTCCCTATCAAAGGTTGGGAGTGTGGGTTTGAATGTTTTTAGCATCTCTGAGCTGTTGGTGTGAACCTCGGCTCAGAACGTGTGGGTTATGTGACTGTTGGTGATAAATCTGATAAGACACTGAATGGGAAAAATAATGTTTGAGGAGTCTGGTCAAAAGAATAATGCTTTCTGCATCCCCAAAAGTTGGGCTTTTTGGCTGCACTGTAGTAGGCCGTGATAATAATAAGGTAGAGAAGGTGGGGGCAGCAGAGAATGCCTGTTTCTCTCTTCCCTTCCTGCTTTGTTCGGCCACGTTGAACCAGAACATGGCTCGCTTTGTTTCCTTGTACCCTGTTAATTATTCCTAGGGTGCCTTGTTCACGTGTGCCCAGGTCCTGACCCATGAGTACGTGAGCTTGTCCTTGGCCAGTTGAGCACTCTCACTTAGCCTGAATGCAAACCGAGCTGGGCAGTGCTAAGTGAGAAAGGAAGCAAAAAGAACTCGGTTTTGGTGCGAATCCCTGCACTTTTGGGGTGGTGGGGCCTAAAACCTGGATTTCCCAATAGTGAAAACGGATGTAGAGCTCTTGACTTGGAGTCGGTGCCATTGATTTTGCATCCATGACAGCTCTGTCACTGTGTGCTCAAGCAGAGAGGTTCTTCAGGAGCAAACACACAGGAGACTCTAAAACGCTTTGGTGTGTCCCGATCTGCGGTTGTCACAAGTAAGGAAATAGCTGGATGGGAATTCATGGATTCGATCAAACTGGTTGCTTGACTCATAAAATGAAACGAGTGCTTTATATGGGGCAGTTACCATCTACTTTCAGACTGTCCTAATGCAAACCAGCTTTTTCCTGCTTGATTCTGATAAATCAAATTGCCTGTATTTGCTCCAGGCTTCTCTGGCTGTAAGTACCTTTGGAATTCCTGCACTGCCTCTTTCCCTTTTGGACTGGTGCACCAGCACCGGGCTATCCTGTGGATTGGTTTCATGCACAGTGAGTGCCCCTTTTATATGGTGTATCCGTATTGTGTTTCCCAGCTTATTAACACTTCCAAAAGCCAAAAACAAAAGCTGGGAAGCTTATGAAAAGAAAGGAGAGGGAGAATTTTATGTATTGCCATAAATGAGGAAACATTAACTTCTGGAAAGCCGTGAACTAAGAAGTGTATAGCATTTTAATAATGCTTTTTAACATCCAGGGCTGTTACGTTGTGACTTCCCATGTTCCCAGGGAATTGCAGGACGTGCATCTTTCTGTTTGCTTGGTCTATGGTGACCCTAAGGAATAAATAGGATTGGTTGTATTGCACGTGGAAAAGCTGCTCTGGAAGCTAAAGGTAAAAACTGAGATAGGTGGGGGCTCTACCTGGGCCTTCAGTCCCTTGGTTTTATTCTTCTCTTGCATGTAGATGAGAAACAGGGAGTTTGGCTTAATGAGAATATTCATGTTTCATCTTAAACGTGCCTCTGAAAGATCCAAGTTTAAACTTGGACATCGGGAGAATGTGGATGGCAGCACAAATCACCTCCTGGCTGGTTCCTGAGGGGGCCTGTATGGAAATGCTTTGTGAACCGACAGATTTCCCCTTCTCTTTGCCCTTCCATGGTTATCTTCAAACCATAAACTGCCAGCTCCGTTCCTCGTGACCGCTGAACTGGCTCTTGTTTGAAGAGGATCTTCATCAGGAAGGAATGTGGATAGAAGACAGATGCACATTTGCAGCTCTTTGTTGGCCTGTATGAAGTCTGAGTTACTGCTCTTGGAGGATGCCAAGGCTTTTGGTGTAGTCATAAATTGATTCTAGTCCATAAATGTATTTGAACCATACTAAAGGAGTTTGGTGGGGTTTGGTTCGAGTTTGCCAGCAAACCTCTGGTAAAGAGAGTGTGTATCTGCAGAGAGGTTGTAGCATAGCTAAGCTTTCCTTTCCTGGTGTGTTATGGAATTGGGATGTTAACATCTCTGGTTTGGTAGGATTGGGACATTTACATCACTAAACGGAAGGCTTGTCTTGTCTCAGCTATCCCCCTAAATCCATGGGAACAGAACTTCATAGGGAGGATGCTCAATCCCTGTGGGTGGGTTGGGGTTAGGGACAAATTGGAGCCCTTTGAAGCCTTGTTCTCTTTGCTGTGGAGTGTGACATGTTGGGAGCTAATTGTACTCAGCACACCACAGCATCTCTGCTCTTCCTTGTACTGTAAAATGAGCTCTGGACCAGTATCCACCAGCTTCAGCATCCCAAGATGATGCCGAGAGCAAAGTCCTGCAGAAGTCATGTTCTCTCCCACCAAGGATGCCAGATTTTCTTCATCCTCGTGTTTTGGGGTTTCTGAGGGTTTTGGGCTTGGTTGTGGGGTTTCTTTTTGCAATAATTGGATCTTTCTTCGCAAACTGATTCCTGAGATTCCAGTTTTGAGCCTAGAGCACATCTTTACAGCACGCTGCGAGCTCCCAGGAACAGTTTCACATTGACATAGTTATAATTAACTTAAAGGAGTTAATAAACCAGAACTCACTGTGGAAGTTGGCAGGGAAGTCACATTTTCGTCAAGCTCCCTTGTGATTATAGCCTGGGAGCTGGAACAGCAGAAGGGGGTGGGAGGATGTCCTCCGGTGCCTGTATGGAATGGCTGGAACCAGTGGAAGTCCTTTGAGCTTGCTGTGATTCCCATAGGACAGCAGCCAGCTTCCAGGGGAGATGCTGTGGAATTCAGGATGCTTTGGATCAAGGTGGGAGGTTTGTGTGTGTTGGGATGAGGAGGGTGGATGCTGGCCGGGAGGGAAATGGGAGCAGCTACTGCTGCTGCTGTCATAGCTCGTGTCTCCTGTCTTGTCATCTGTCTTTTACACTGTGGTTAATTCATGGATTCACAGGAGCTGTTTAACTCATTGCTTTGCTTCCCCTTCAATGAAACACTGAATCCTGACTCATCCCTGACTCTTCCTCCTGTGTTTTCCCTTCTTTTTTCCCCCTTTGTCAGCTGTGTTAATTTGCCTGTAACTGACTTGATGGAATGTCAACCTGGATAGGAGGAACCCAGCAACTGGAGGGGAGGAAGCTGACAATTTCCAAGGAAATATGCTTTCAGTATAATTGAAAAAGTCTTCAGCACTCTTGCTAAGCTTTGGAGATGCAATTTGAAAGTCTGAAAGGGTTTGAACCAGAGGAGTGAAGGGAGAAACCCATTCCTGCCCAGGCAAGCTGATGGCTCTTGGGGTAAAGAGAAGCAGAAAGAGCTTCTTGCATGTTTCCCTGGGTGTTTTCCTTGCTCTGTGGTCCAGGACTTTCGTAGTTCTGGACCATGCAGTGGCTCTGTAAGGATACAGGATACCTGCTCAGGTGATGCGCTGGTGGAACTCATTCCTTCACACAGCAATTCCTCTTCTCTAATGGAGTTATCAATGATAGGAGGTTTTGTGTTTGACAAAGGGCTATTGCCAGTGGCTTGGAGAGGCAAATGCAGGTTTGCTGTGTGAACACAGAGGGCTCTTGCTGGCAGAGGAACACCAAGGTCTTGAGCAGGAACTTTTTGTTCCCTTCATCCCCACAGCTCCCATTACGTGTTTTCATTAGGCAGCTGGTTGAGGAATGGGTTCCTCACAAGGGGGTAGGTTAAATAATCAAAGGAATACAGTTCTTGAGTAGTTATATGTGATTTTTAGCTCTCGAGTCTCTCTGATACCTCTTTATTTGCTTTTTGGAGTGTTTGCAGCAGGGTAGAAATTCTCCAGCACTGCTCCTACATGGGGGGAGAGGGGAAGGTGTTTGCCTTTTTGCATCCAGGCTTTTTCAACCTATTTGCTCCAGCGCAGTAGGTTTCTATGGGGTATGTACTTTGCAAAGAGAGCAAGAATATGGAAGGGTGTTTTTTTTCCAACAGCCTTTTAAACCAGAAGAAGGAAGATAAAAGGCAAGGATGCTCTAATGTGGCACCCATTGCCTGTCCCTGGTGAGCTGTTTCCCTTTTGCCACCCCAGGAGAGGGCTGAAGGTGTGAATGACAGAACCATTCAGGCTGAGCCTCCCTCCTGGCCTTAGGGATGATTTCCAGGCTGCAGCTTACAGGAGTTTGGGTCAGCACCAAAGCCTTCTCCTTGTTCTGGCATCAACTCTTGGACAAATGAAAGCCACTTCCAGTGGCCTCGGCTGAACATCCAGCCCCTTTCCTGATCCCTGAACTTCCCTCTTTGCTTCATGCACATTTACTTAGGAGAAGAAAGTAGGGAGTGTCGACAGATCTGTGCAGATGTCTTTAATCAGCTCCAAAATGTGTAAGAATGGCACAAAGAACCATAATAAAGTCATGTGTTTTATTTTAACACTCTTGCAGGGTCAAGAGCCAAATTGTTTCGGCTGCGTTTGGTTCTTGAAGCTGTTACAGGATCTTGCCATAAGTTTTTCCATGATTACGAGCCATGCAAGAACAGAAAGTAGGGTTTGACCCAGTGTTTAAATACTGTGGTTTGCAAGGTGAGAGCTTTTCGAATTGTCTCTAAACCATTGCTGGCTAAACCTGTGTCCTTAGTTTGCTTTTATTTCCTATTACTTTACATCAGGTTTAACCCATCTTTAGTTGTATTGCAGTGCAGCTCCAAGCTGCTTCTCCATGCAGAGCAGTTAAGTTGTTCCTCCTGCCCTCTTTTCCTTTCCCCATGCCTTATCTGGGAAAGGAAAGTTCTAAGTATGCGAGAAAGGAGAAGTTTATTGCTTAAAATGAGATCTGCCCTGGTGGAAAAAAAGAATTGCAAAGCCAGGAAAGAAACCTGGAACACTGGAATTGCAAAGATTCGGTTTGTTTGCTTCCAGACAAATGTAAGGTGTTCATTCTCCATCCTTAAACTCTCTTGTTGTTCACGGCAACCACATGAAGTTGTGTTCATTCCTTGCAGTAACTTGAACAGCTCCAGCCCAGGTTTGTTTCCCCTTTGCGTGCCTGTTCACAGGTTCTGACTCATCTTTGGGCTTTCCTTTCATCGTAGCTTTGTCATTTCTCCTGGCAGGGAGTTCTCTCTATTCTGGCTGCTAGGTTGGGGCAAGCTGTTTGTTTACCTGTGGAAAAGAGAGGAACAGATTTGGTTCTTCATCATGTGCACGTCCTCCCGTGATGTGTTCGGTGTTTGCAGCGTGATGGCAATGCTGACCCTGAGGCACCCCAGCTGCCTTTAGTACCTGCGGTGCGTGATGGGGGAGAGCCAGTTTTACTGATGGGTGAGTGATGCAGATGCTCCACAGTGAACCCTGCTGATGCCAAACAGGTTTCCTCTTGTCTGAGGAAGCTCAAAAGAGCTATCACTGAAGCGGTTTGGGTTAAATAAACGCTGTTTCTCACCTGGGTGTATATGGTATTAAGGCTTAGATTTGCAAGGGAAGTATCCATAATCCATAGATACCTGAAGAGAAACAGGTGGGGAACATCACAGGCAGCATCAAAGATGCTTTTGTGCTGAGAATTACCAAATTAAGGTGTAACAAAGCTGCTTTGTTAACCCACCAGCGCTCTTAAAATCTCTTTTCCTCTTCAAACAGGAAATCTTGCTGGCCCACACAGGAAAAGCAAAAGCAGTTGACAAAAGGCTTGTGATTTATATACTGACAGCCTACTTCATTGTTAAACATGATTCTTTAATGCACTGGATCTGGTGTGTGATTGATTTCCTTGTAGCCTGTTACCCAGCTGAAACCAGCAACGTATCAGCATTGGAACCTGAAGGTGAATTCAGTGCGCTTGGAACGTGTTGGGTCCTGAGCCCTTGCAGGGCTGGTGGGTGACCTCCCTTGGCAGTGATTGCATCAGCCTCTAGGAAATGGTTATTTCAAAGGCCCAGTTTTTGTTCCACGGCACAAATCTCAGCTCTCCTGGTGCGACTCAAGGGTTAAATTCCCAACCCTGTCGCATATGGCAGTGAGCAGAATCACAGATGTTGATGATACAACATAATTAGTATTCTTTTATGTAAATGAAGGCTGTCAATGTTACCATAGTGTCTATACTCTTTCAAGCTGGAATCTACGCTACTTGGTCTCACCAAGGCTAGACGGGATTCTGCCACGATTTTCCATCGAGACCTGAGCACAAAAAATAAAGGAGAAAGAGGAGAGGAAAAAGCTCAGGGAGAAAGGTGAGAGGGAGGTGGGAAGGGACGGTTCCAACTCGCAGACCAAACCGGCCCTTTGTTTAGTGTGGGGTTTCCAAAAGCGCCTTTCCAGGCCTGAGGATTTGTGAGGGGATGGACTCGGCCCAAAGGAGAGGTGCAGGGCTGCTTCAACTGTTCCAGCTAACCAGCAGAAAGGGTTATTTAGACACTGCAGATCACTCCATGGAGAGGAGTGCTCAAGTGGCCACTTGTGCTCTAATCTGAAGTCGGGGGGAGTTAAAGAACAGAAGAGCTTTGATTTTTCCTTAACAGATTCCATCTTTAGCAACAATCGCACTGGAAGAAGATAGGAACTAAAGTAAATCTGCATGATTTGAGGGCCACTAAGGACAGGTTTGCCTGACCTGGTCAGATAGAGGCAGCTGCTCCATAGCTGTCTCTGGTGAAGCCACAGCCTCTGTTGTGTTAAACTTTGCTCCTTGTAGAGAGATTCCTTTTAACTACGTGTTCCATGTGCCGGCTCCGACGCTCTCTGCGACATCTGTAACCACTTTGTGCCTGTTCTCACTGTCTCTCCTGTCACTGCTCTGTGTTGCATTCAAGCTGTAGGTGTGTAAGCGAGTTAATTTAGTCTTTCTTGGGCTATTACAACAGATAGGGGTTTGCAATCAGTTCTGCCTTGGGCAAAAGGCAGGTTTTTCCTATCTCTCTTTCCCCTGCTGTTCTTTGTTGCAGTTCACACTTAACAACTATTCATTACTTCATTTCTATTGTTTGATACTGGATATTTCAGGACAGGTTTTTTGCCTCCTTCCCCCACCCCCCCATCTCCTCCCTCCTGCTTTCACCAAGTCAGCGCTGAAGTGATTGCAGGAGGTGCAACGTTTGCGCTCCGTCTTTTTGAACTCCACATCTTCTCTCTGCCATATGTTGGGTCATCCGCTATACAAAAGGCTGATGATGAAGAGGCTGCACGTGACCAGCAGATTTATAGATTATGGGAAAATGAAAGCAGAAAGACGAAATTCCACAGGGCCCCTTCCATTGGGCTTCCTCCGTGCGCTCCGGCTTCGACTTCCAGAGCATTCCGGTCTCTGTAATAAATGCGTTCCCCACCGTAGCTCTTGCGCCGAGGGGATTAATCCTGTTCCAGAGCAGCCCTGCCAGTGCTCTCGGTTTGTTTCTGTGCATCACACGAATATCCTCTCTCTAGGGCTTTGAAGCTGCGCTGCCTTACAATGAAGACTTAAGTAGTAATTAAATTCCCGAAGATCCGCCAAGACTCCTCCGGCTGCGATGGGGATGTTCCGTGCCCGGGCTGCGGCGGCACGGGGGGAAGGATGTTTGAACAGGACTCCGTGAGTAGCTGTGCCCTCATCTCTTCCCCTTGGATCAGAGCATTGGAGGGAGCATACAAAGACGCCCCAGTGTCACTTGTGCTCTTTGTACATCTGAGCATCTTCTATAAAGCACATGGGTACAGGACACGGAGTAAAAGCTTTCTGCGCCTTCTAATAGCGCTGCTTTGATTTCTCTTCAGTTACAGTGCAGTAAATCAGTTGCTTTCTCTCCGTCTGTGTGCTCCTGCAAGCGTCTACACCTGCAGATGTTCCTTTAGGTTCACTCTAGCCCGTTTCAGTTTTTATTCCCTCCTGATGGTTTTTAAAGGCTGGAACGTTTGGGAGGCTGTGGGAAATGAGAGAATTCCAGGGTAGAACAGAGAGCCTGCGGGCTTGCAAATGCTCTGGTTATATAGCATCAGAGAATCATAGAATAGTTAGGGTTGGAAAGGACCTTAAGATCATCCAGTTCCAACAATTATCTGGTGTTTCTGTGGCTTCTGCAAGGAGTTAGTAACTCAGCCCGCTCCTGATGACATGCCTTCCCATTCCAAATTCATTTTGCATGTATCAGTTTCAAGAGGGCAACTAAAGATCAAGCGTGTGTGTGGACTGAATTAATCTTTTTCTCCTTGGAAGCGAGCCATTCAGGTTGGGTGAGGCGTGCTGGCAGCTGGCTGGGCTGTCCCTAGCACACAGATAGACAGTTGTATGCTGTAGACCTTGTCAATCCAGTCTCTTTGGCTGGTGCTAAAAACTGCCCACAGAAATAATGGAGTTGCTTAAGGGAAAACGGAGGTTGAGATTGACAAGATTCAACATCTGTGTTTTTATAGGTCTTTACAGCCAGTACGAAAGAGATGGTTTTGAACATGTGCCGTGGCTCTAAGCCCCTTTTCTCTCTGTCTCTTTTTGCCTTCCAAGGTCAAAGCAGCGAAGACTTCTGTAAGACATGGATAGATGCAAACATGTTGGGCGGCTACGACTCGCCCAGGACCACTCCATCCTGAACCCCCAGAAGTGGCACTGCGTGGACTGCCAGACCACGGAGTCCATCTGGGCCTGCCTGAAGTGCTCCCACGTGGCCTGCGGGAGGTACATCGAGGAGCATGCACTTAAACACTTTGAAGAAACCAGGCACCCGTTGGCAATGGAAGTGAACGATCTCTATGTCTTTTGTTACCTTTGTGAAGATTACGTCTTGAATGATAACCCGGAGGGTGATCTGAAGCTGCTGAGAAGTTCCCTGTCAGCGATTAAAAGCCAAAAGCATGACCCGTCCACAAGAAGTGGCAGGACGCTGCGGTCCATGGCTTTGGGAGAGGATGTGTGCAGCCATCAGAGGAGCCCTCAGGGACAGTCCCAGATGCTTACAGCCCTCTGGCACAGGCGCCAGTCCTTGCTGGCGAAGGCGCTGCGGACCTGGTTCGAGAAGAGCTCCAGGGGCCAGCGAAAGCTAAGAGAGAAGCAGCAAAGGGAAGAGCTGGAGAAGAAGAAGGAGGCAGCGAGGCAGCGGCGGCGGGAGATGAAGAGGCAGCTCCTGGAGGAGCTGGCGAACGCTCCTCCCAGGAAGAGCGCGAGGCTCCTGTCTCACGTGCACAGAGAGAACCTGGTTCCAAGGAAGTTCAGGGAGGTGGCGAGCGCTTCCCCTACCTCAAGGCAGGTGCAGAGCAGCCGATTCAAGCAGTTCTATTCCATCCGGCGCAAGCCGCTCATGACCCCCGGGGTGACGGGTCTGAGGAACCTGGGGAACACGTGCTACATGAATTCCATCCTGCAAGTGCTGAGTCACCTCCAGAAGTTCAGAGAATGTTTTCTGACGCTTGATCTCTGTGAAACGGAAGAACTCTTGGCTAAAACTGTGAATGGCAAGTCCAGGATGCCTGGCAAGCTGGCAAACGGGGCTGCTGCTAACGAGTCAGGGAAGACTGACAAAGTGGGATCATATGGCACGCAGAGCTTGCCAGCTGGCTTAAATGGTGGCTCCTCCATAAGCAGGAGTTTAGAACTGATACAGCCCAAGGAGCCGAGTTCAAAGCACATCTCCCTCTGTCACGAACTGCACACCCTCTTCAGAGTGATGTGGTCTGGCAAGTGGGCGCTCGTGTCCCCCTTTGCCATGCTGCACTCTGTGTGGAGCCTGATCCCGGCGTTCCGAGGGTACGATCAGCAGGACGCTCAGGAATTCCTCTGCGAGCTGTTGGATAAAGTGCAGCAGGAGCTGGAGTCGGAAGGAACGAAGCGCAGGATCCTCATCCCTTTCTCGCAGAGGAAGCTCACCAAGCAGGTCCTGAAGGTGGTGAACACCATTTTTCATGGGCAGTTGCTTAGTCAGGTATGAACCTGCTTTTGCACAGGCATCCGTTCGAGCCCTTCATCCGAGCTGTGTTTCCTCAGGAGCCCCCAGATACACGAGAGGAGTTGCTATGCAGGTTGTCAGCATTCTCCAGCCTTGCCGTGGGTACTGTAAACTCAGTTGACTCGAGCCACTTTGGAGTGAAATGTGCCCAAGTACAGAAGCCTTTAGTTTTCAGTTTTTCCAGTGTTTTTTAAATGTCCTTGTAATTTGGGGTTTCCTCTCCTGGTTTTGTGTCCATGTCTGGAACGAACATGATGGAGCACAGAGAGGGCTTGTAACAAATAAGCTCTCTCTGACAATTTGGGGCTTTCTGCAGGCATATGAAAGTCATCTCGAGACACGGAGCATGCTTAACATATGTTTCTGTAGGAGATGAAAGTGCCTGTCATGCTGCTTGGTCTCTTATTCCTGTGCCTTTCCCTTATCGGAAACGTACTGTTCCCCAACAAACCCTTTTGAAAGCTCTCCACTACCTTTGCTTTCCAGGAGAAAGGAAACTTGTGCATGACTTGACATTCCAGGGTTTGGGAGATCAGACCACATGTGCACGTTCTCATCACTGTTTCTCTCATCCTTCTCAGTGCTAGTGAGCATCCCCTCATTAAGCTTACCTGTATGGTAAAGATTAAAAGGTGTATTTCTCAAGTCAAAGCTCTTCGCTTTCGGGACAGGGCTGCTTGAAGTCCTGGTTCATTTGAATCATCCCCTCAGTGTGTGAGCTTCTTGTGGCCCTCTAAGCTCAGTGTTCTTCGTTCCCTTGGCTCTGGATGGTGGGGTGTTGGGGCTGATGTAGGTTCAGCGATAGGTCTCCTAACAATGTGAAGAACACAGATCAATGTAATTGATCTGCACCTATGATAAGCTATCAGTAACTTGCCAGGCTATTTGTTCTGCTTGTGTATGTGCACTGTGTTTCATTCCAAACCCCTCTACGCACAGGATTCCTTCCCTATCTTCTAGCTGCAAATCCATCATCAAGCTACTTCAGTGCCTTGAAGCTGCAAGGTTGGAAGCTGGTTTCTGATGGATGATTCTCACAGTACCATAGGGTCTGACCAGATCTGCTCTCTGGTTTTATAGAATCATAGAATAGTTAGGGTTGGGAAGGACCTTAAGATCATCCAGTTCCAGCCCCCTGCCGTGGGCAGGGACACCTCTCACTAAAGCATTGCCACCCAAGTCTCCATCCAACCTGGCATTGAATACTGTCAGGGATGGAGCATTCACAACCTCCCTGGGCAGCCCATTCCAGTGCCTCACCACCCTCACAGTAAAGAACTTCTTCCTTATATCCAATCTAAACTTCCCCTGTTTGAACCCATTACCCCTTGTCCTGTCACTGAAGTCCCTAATGAAGAGTCCATCCCCAGCATCCCTATAGGCCCCCTTCAGATACTGGAAGGCTGCTCTGAGGTCTTCACACAGCCTTCTCTTCTCCACGCTGTTTGTTTTGGTGCTTCCTGGAGTTCTCACTTTCTGCCTCTGAGTTTAATTGAAAACTTCTCTGCTCTTCTTATTTATAATGTTCTTGGGATGAGATGAGAAAACGAATGCATCTGAAATGTGGCCTTTCATGCTCTGTTCAGGAAAGATTCTATATAGTTAGCTGATAAAGCATTAAAAGAACTGCACACTTTGAGATATGTAAGGAAGGCAGAGAAACTATGGAAGGATGATGGCATGCTGAATGCTAACATGTACTTTTTGTAGTAGGAAACAGATCCAAGGTGTTTGTTACCAGCTGTAAATCAGTGTTATACCTGCAACAGTGTTCATCTGAGCAAGTAAAGCCCATAAACATGAACATTGGCTCTATTTGGGGACGGGGGATTGAGAAAGTAGTTTGAATGATTTGCTCAAGATTACCTTTCAGAGTGGAAATAAGTCATGTTTCTCATCCTGCCTGTGAAACTGCAACGCCTTTGGGGCATAAACCTGCTCTTTAGATGTGACTGTAACTGCCAGACTGCAGGTGTACACGCACATAACTCCATTTGTGTCATCCCCAGGTCACCTGCATAACATGCAACTACAAATCCAACACTGTGGAGCCCTTTTGGGATCTTTCCCTGGAATTCCCCGAGCGCTATCACTCCATGGAGAAGGGGATCATCCCTGTTCACCAGGCAGAGTGCATGCTGACAGAGATGTTGGCCAAGTTCACCGAGACCGAGGCGCTGGAAGGGAGGATATACGCGTGCGACCAGTGCAACAGTAAGTGAGCTGCTGATGCTGTCTCTGTACTATATCTTTTTCCAGTTGGGAAGTTTCTGATGTGTGTTTGATGTGTCTCAAAACAGGTATTGTCATCTGCATGTATAGGGAAACTGCTCTTCCTTGCTCCTCGTGCTGATTTGTTTCCTCCTGTTGGTAGTTTCTGTTCCTTTGGGTACCAGTTTGGACCTGATATGTCATTTTTCTTGTCTCCACCATTCAGCAGCACAGTTTGCTAAGGTTATACTATGACCCTGCTCATGCTCTCCCCACTTGCCTTAAGAGGAAAAGGCAACCTCAAGAATTCTTTTGGGGGTAAGAGGTGGCCTGGATTTAGGGGCAGAAGAAGGAACCTTATCCCCTGTGGTTTGCTCATCTCTGCATCGTAGGGAAGCTTTTATAGCAAGCCATCTATATGCAGCTTGCTCTTGATTGAATCCTTTAACCAGAATCACAGATGCAGAGTTCTCAAGGTGCACTGCCGGGTTCCAGCTTCCACCTCTCTGTAAGCATTTTGTCAAGAAGCAGTGAACTGATGCAATTTAGGCAGTCTGAGGTTAATGTGAGACCTGTTAGATGGATGCACGTGTTTTGCTGCGCTCAGCTAGAAGATGACTTCTCTCTTCCTGTAGCAGGTCTGAGTGTAAGGTCATTATATGCCTGAGAATAATTTTAGCTGCGTTATAACCGTGCAGCTCAGCTCTCTGAGAAGCTGCATTTGAAATATTTTTTCATGCAGGTATTTATGGCAAATTTCGATCCCCGTGGGAGGAAAATGCCAATAACTTGACTTGCATTGCAGCTAAGCAGCTGAAGCAGCAAATATTTGCAGAGATCTGTTCTCTGTCCACTCACAAATCTGTTACCAAACATCTTCACAGAGCATTAGGAAATAACCATTGATGAGATGTTCTTGAAACAAAGCCAGATACGATATGAGTAGATTCTGGTTCACACACTCTGTTCGCAGAGTGTTGATGCGGGTGAGTACGGCTTCGTCTCAACTCTGTTTCCATGGATTCTTTGTGGAAGCCCAAATTGTAACCGTTTCTCCAGAATGAAATGAGTAAGGGAATCTTAACCAGCTGAAAAAAAGCCAGGGGAAGGCAACCAGCCTGCACCTAGCTGCCCAAAACTACTGGGGGCACTTGTCAGATGTGACGGAGGAGGAGCATCCCATCTGTTGTGAACTGGTGCAGTGAGGTGCAGAAATCTAATTAACAGGTACATTTCTTACTGGAAGCTCTGGAAGCCACCTGTCTTCCCCCTGGTACACTCATATGCTCAGTGTCTTGGAAAGAGTAATCCCTGGCAGGAGGAACCTTTTTTTCCCTCCTCTCTTTTGGTTTAGAGGTGGCTCCTGCTCTGTGAAGGAATTCATAGGCGATGTTGACTTGTGCGTCCATCATCAGTGCACGTGAGCTGGAAGAAAAGAGCTCACAATGTGCTTGTTCCCCCTTCTGAAAGCAAATTGCCCCCAAACAATCTTTGCCTCGGTGTTTTTCATTCTATTTGGTAGGCAAACGGCGCAAGTCTTCTCCTAAACCCCTTGTTCTGAGTGAAGCTAAAAAGCAGTTACTGATCTACAGACTACCTCAGGTCCTCCGGCTGCACCTTAAACGATTCAGGTGAGTGGGGCACACTGCGTGGTGGTGGGCAGGAGGCTTGACTTTGGGAGAGATGTGATTCATGTGGGCTGATCACCTCTCCCTTTCTGGTAAATGAATTTTAACCTGAACCAGAGAGGTGATTCCCTCTCCGAGTACAGCTCACATTGCAATCAGTAGCCTGTTTGTAGCGTGTTTTCTGCTCTGCACATAATGTGATGTTTTGTACACGTTAATGCTCATTCCCTTGCATTGTACTCAACAGCAGTTGTCCGAGTTTGGAGGCAACTTGAAAGAGTGGCTGTGAGATGGATGAGCTGAGTGAAAGATTTGTTGAAGCTGGAAGCCTGCGCTAGTTAAATGCCAATCTTATGGATGTAGCCGTTGAGTAAAGCATAGCAGACAAAGCTCCAAATACTGTGAGCAGTTTCTGAAACTCAGGCCAGGCATTTGAGGAGTGGGGAGGGGGTTAAATTCCAACTGAACATTTCAGCCCCTGTCTTGCTGTCCCGGTAGTTTGGCTTGCTTTGTGCTTGGCCGTTGCACACCTCCGCAGTGCTCTAATGATAACGAATGGGCATCGGTGACAGAATGAGCTGTGTGCAGGAGATGACTGTAGTAGATGTTAGAGTGGAAACAGAAGGAAAGAATTACACACCGCCTACTTGACCCGAGCACTGAAAGCTCTTCAGAGCTGTCGAGCAGCAGCTGCTTTTGTGTGCACCAGAGGCGAGAAGCGGGACCCGGAGTCTTTGATTCGTGCCCTTGTGTTTGCAGGTGGTCTGAACGTAATCACCGCGAGAAGATTGGGGTCCATGTCCTCTTTGACCAGGTATTAAACATGGAACCTTACTGCTGCAGGGACTCTCTCTCCTCTCTTGACAAAGAGACCTTTGTCTATGACCTCTCCGCTGTGGTGATGCATCACGGGAAAGGGTTTGGCTCAGGACACTACACAGCATATTGCTACAACACAGAGGGAGGTGCGTGTGCCTTGTTACGGGGGAAACAGATTCAAGAACGTCGTGTTTTGTTCCACAGACGTAGTGCGTTGTAAAGCTTTCTGATGGAAGTTGGTTGGAATCCATTTCCCAGCATTTGGTACTTGGTTTCCCAGAATGGCTTCCCAGTAGCATGTTTTCTGGGGTTTTGCCTAAAGCCACAGATTGCCGTTCTTTGCTTCGCAGCCCTTCGGGATGCCTTTTATTGCTTGCTGTTAACAGCATGAATGCTTCATTTTCTCATGCAGCGTAACTCCGTGGAGCTGCTCCAGCTGGGTGTCTTTTCTCAGTATCCTTGGGATGATGAGATAAACAGAAAGTGTTTTGAAGCTGGACAGGAACTATTCATGAGTAACATCCGCAGGGGTTTTGTGCCTTTCCAGCAGTCTCTCTCTGCAGCTGGATCAGTGTTGATTCTGCCTTCGGACTTGGGCAGAAAGAGCTACAAATTGCCTCTCTCCAGGGAATTTTTCTTTTCCTAATGGAGCTCTTGGGCTGTAATATACACTTGGTTAAATTACAGTTTGGTATTTCTGAACTCTGTTAATGGCACAGAAACAATCCAAATGTTTTCCAGATCAGGAGGTCCTTTCCAAAGCATCCATAGAGGAAACGATAGAGATGCCTTTTCTCCTCCGCTGCCCTTTTTCTCTGTGGATGTTTCCTCTGAACCGTTCCAAAATGCATTCAGGAGTCAGCGCCTCCCTTACTAATATCCTCTTTCTCACTTTGATTCCTAGGTTTTTGGGTCCACTGCAATGACTCCAAACTGAATGTATGTAGTGTGGAGGAGGTGTGCAAAACCCAAGCCTACATTCTGTTTTACACTCAAAGAACAGTGCAGGACAAAGCAAGAATCTCAGAAAAACAACTCCAAGCTCAGGTGCCATCCAGACACAGTGATAATAAGGACAGAAGATTGACATTCCCGTGATGGGGAGCTCCGTGACTCAACCAGCAGCCTCCGTTTCCTTTACAACCATTGGCGTTCCCATCTTTCCTCTTTGTAGGAAAAAAGGCTCGCTGCAGGAAGGGGATCAGCTCTTGACATTGGCCACCCAGGGTCTGGAAAAGCCTGTCGAGCTGTGCCATTCTGACACATAAGGTTGCAGTCAGAATCTTGTTTAGAAAGCATCCCGTCATTCAGAATGAAATGGGAAGGTTTGATGCTGTGTATCCCCCATCTCAAAAAGGATGTGGGTAAGGTGTGTAAGAGATGAGCCCAACCAGGATACTGAAGCATTCAGCTGGCTTCAAAAACCTTCACTACCTGGTAATGCTGATAAAACTGCAGAAGGAACAGGTACAGTCCCCTCCCCTTCAGTTGCTGTTCACATTGCCAAGGTTTGAAACGCAGATCACCCAGGTATGTGTTGGGACAGTTGATGGGTAGATGGAGTTAACGGCCCTCAGAGCTGTTCTTGCTAGAGAAATGTTAAATGTTCTTCAACCAGGGATAATACTGCCCCAGGGCCTCAGCAGTCTCTGGGGTACCAAGTTCTTTGCCATCCATTGAGGGCAAACCCATGGTGGGCAAGCTTTGTGAGCAGCTCTCCTTCTCTGTTTGTGGGGCTGTGTGCACCCTCGATGGTTTGTTCTCCGGGCTGAACTGAACCGAACCGGCAGCTAAATTCACAAGGAATGTGATCTGAAAACAGTTCTGCTCTGGAAAAAAAAAAACAAGTCTGTTTAAAACACAAAACTCGGTCATAAACCAGGAATGTAGCAGTGTGTCAAATCTGTTTACAGTGGCAGCAAAAACAAAGCCTGTGCTGCAGGCTTCTGCTGGCATGGCGTGGGCATCAGGATGACAGAGGAGCCTGAGCCCTGGCTGTGGCAGCAGAAGCGGGTGGCATGGAGGCATCTTACACTGGCAAAGTAGCACTTTCATACAAGCATGGCATGTTTTCCTTAGGGGAACAGGGTGGTGGTGAGACCACAGCAGTGAGAGGCTGCTCCTATTGCTCCTCTAAGGGGAATGCCCATGGGTTGCAGTTGTCACACAAAGGAGGCTGTGCAGAACTCAGCCCGCGCCGTCTTTGTTTCTGCTGGGCCATAAAGGGAAGGAATGTACTTCAATGTCAAAAGTCCACGTTGGGTTTGAAAGGCTACAAAAACGTCTGTATCTGTGATCGTCTTGGATGTGGAATGCTGTGGGAAACACAGGGCCTTAGCTGACTATTGCCAGTCACTTCTCAGCCTACAGTTGCGCCTCAGGTGTGTTTTTCTACGTTGGGGTTTGGCGGTTCACATGTCATGTTCAAATCTGAATCCTCTAAGGAGGCACGATGTCTGTCAGTCTTCATGGTCTGGGGGTGGGGGGGTTAAAGGTGAAATAACCTCAAATATGAGCTTCTTAAGAAACAGTTCCATTTTCAGGTAGAGAAGTTATAAAAATGTTTCTCTTCCTCCCTCTTTTTCTGTTCTTATCGGTATTTGCCCATCACACACACCCTGACAACCTCATGCTGGAGGTGGAGGGGGGAAGAGGTAAGTCTCCCAAACGCTGTTCCCTCTATTTCCACTGCCACTACTGGGACTGTTCTGTCCTATGGGCACATTGGTCTGGAGTGCTGTGGCTGCTGCTCCTTGCTGCAGCCATGCAGGTGAACACAGCGAGCAGAGCACAGTGTGATGCTAGGTCTCTGTCCTTGAGTTCCCCATTTCCCATGTGTCTGAGCAACGTGCTGCTTTTTGAGTCACCAAAACCTGTCTTTTTTGGCAATTCAGTCTCATTTTGACATCATAGGCTCAAACTCTATTGGAAACAAGACAGTTTTAAACCAGTTCCCATAGGACTCTGTCAGAAGATGCAGTTCTGGTTCTGTAGATGTAGCAGCATCTGGAGGGATTTCACTGAATGTCTTTGTATCCTTGTATTTACTCAGTAGGGAATTTACTACCAGTGAATAAAATGCAAGAGGCTAAATTGAGACCCAGTAGCAGTAATTGTGGCTGCTGACTGCGGGGGAGGCTGAGTTGGCTTCAGCGCAGGTAGGAGTTGACATTCCTGGAAGAATGGGAATCTTGGGATTATCAGACACATGATGGGTTCTTTTCTCGAGCTCTGGGAATGTCAAAAAGAGAATTCAAGGGAAAAATAGTGCTTAAAATTGCCTTTTTCATCTTAGAGGTGGAAAGGAAACCTGGTATTTTTCCCATGCATCCATCCTTCCAGGCCTGTCCCCTCCTAAATACAAGGATTGTATTCTCCTAAGTGGCAGTCACAGTTTACTGTGGCTACCAAATGCACGTTCCCTCTGAATCCCTCAGTCCTGTGTGTGTCAAACCCAACAGGAAAGCAAACCTGAGTGCAGCATCCACTGATCCTGCTCTGCTGTGGTGCTCATCTTTTGCCTGAGTGTTTGGCATTAAGAAGTTGAACTCAGTTGACACACGAGGCGAGGGGGAGGCACATTTGGTAGCATTTGCTGGTGACACCTTTTGACATGAGTGGCCTCTCCATGTCACATCAGCTTGGTTGTGCTGAGGTGTGGGGATGCTGCAGTCAGAACGTGGTTGCCCTGATAGGGAAGGAAGGAATTTATACTTCAAAGGAACTAAACTTGCTTTTTCCAACACTGTGAGGTTTCTGTAATATTCAGCTTTTATTTGGAAGCGAGAGCGTATAGCATGTTTTATGCTGTTTGGTTTATATTTGTCTACTGCAGGCTTCTTTATATAAGCATAGCCCAGTGCTCCCTCCGTGGTGGACACTGTTTTATAGTGTCCTGCTTGCCAGAAGTTCGGATTGGAAGTTACCTCTCTACATCAGTAAGATGGAGATGCTATATCATTAGCCTGTAAAGCAAACTTTGTCCCTCCTGTAATGGTATGACTTTAAATCCTGATAATAGATTGATGTCTATTAGAATAACTCCAGGTTTAGGCCCTGCTCTTGCAAATACACAAGATGTGACTTGACTGGAGTCAGTGGTTGCAGCCATGAGTTCCAAGTTGAGTGTCTGCAACACAAAAACCTTGCTTTTGGTACAACTGGGAGCAGAATTGGTTTCTCTTTGCACTGGGATTTCCTGTGCTGGGGTTCCAATCCTGTAGCAAGGAGTCATTTGCCTTGAGGGATGCTCAGAGCACATGTGAAGGTGCAGGAAGCCTTTGAATGCTGGCAGATGGGCTCGGGAGGAGCAGCCGTTGGGACAGAACTGTTCCCAGCATATCCTTGTTGCATCCAACTTGTGAGTAAATTGGCATCCCTTAATGTTATGTTTTTAAGAATGAAGATTCTTAATGTACCCACGGCCAGGCGTGATACAGCATCTGCTGTCATTGAGGGAAACCACTTTATCTTAACTAACCTTATTCCGCTAGCAAGTCACTTACAGAGATTGGCCTTTCTTACCCTTTATTGCCTGCATGGCCACATTAAACTATGCACACTGCAAAACCAGTTCTTCTGCAAAGCACTGGAAATACCCTCATTTCCCTCCCACCTCATTAGTTCTGACCAGAGCAATTCTATGGCCTGGCTTTGACATTGTTAATGTGAGGCAGCAAATGGAGAGCTATATAAAGGAGAGACAGGGAGATGAGTTTTCCCTGCCAGTACAGGTGGGTGGACTAATTTGGTATGATTCCTTAGATTTGGTGCCTTGGATCCAATAACGTTCTGCATGGGACAGGAACCTTGGGAAGCAAGTCAGGAATTTCCCCCTCTGAAGCAGCAGGCAGGCCTGTGTGGTTTTATAGGTCCTCAGCAGCACTGACAAGCTCAGAAAGGGGGATTTGAGTGCTGCATGAATGAACTCTATGTATTTGTACCCCTTCAAATAACAGCTTATGCAAAAGTGGATTAGATTCGGCTTTTTAGATAAGAGTTCCCATCATCCTGGCAGTGTTTGCACAGGTTTCCCCTTAGCAGCCTGGCAAATGCTTCCACACATGAGCAGAACCGTGCTGTGGTGTGGTTATGCCTGTGGAAGTTTAATATGCAATGACTGTAGGTGTGTAAGGTGACCAAGTGTCCCTTCTTCGAGGTGAACAGCAAAATCCAAGCTCTGAACGCTGCCTTTGTGTGTGCATCTCATCCCTCCAGCAGGTTTCAGATCGGACAGGGAGGACTTAGGTTAAGAATTTATTGCCTCTGGGAATATAAAACCTCAATTCAGTGGGGTTTTTGGTGTCTATTGCATTAATATTGATACCTGGCTACTGCAGATAGGGAATGTGAAGCATTCTATCAAGCTTCTAAGTTTATGAACCCATGTGTTTCGATGGTCAAAAGCTACCTACATCAGTTACCTGTGCCAACCAGTGATCATTTCCTTTTGGGCTGCTCCTGTTTTGTGCCCTTTTGCCCAGTCCATGTAGTGATCGGGCCGCGTAGCTCCACACCTCTGATGAGGAATGGCATCTTCATAGTGAGTGTGCTCTTCACTCTCCTTACATGTATTAAATGATGCTACTAGGCCTGGCCCTTAAAGGCTATTTCTTACTGCCTGCTTTATCAGATGAGTGAACTGCAGTATCTTACCACTGGCAACCCAGAGTAAGAGAGACTGGGTTCTGTTTTTCCCCCTGTTTAATGTTAGCTTTGGTTAAGCAGTTACAAACATTAAGCCACAGCCCTCTATACATCGATCAAACAGCTTACAGGAAAGGAACAAGTGAATGAGTTTGTTTTCAGTGAAACTTGTGTTTTACAGGTTTGCCTTTCCATAAGAGAAGCTTAAACACAGCTTAGAAACTTCAGGCCGCTGCTCCAAGACAAGGGCTGCCCATGCGAGTGCAGTGGGCTTGGGGCTGTGGGACTGCTCTGTTGACTTGAGGAAGGGCAGAATTAAAGCTAAGCATCAGCACTTGCAGACAGTTAATCCTGCTCTAAGTTAAGGTTGCTGGAAGGATGCTGTTGGCAGAGGATGAGGTTTCCCTCAATGCAAAATCCCCTTGGGAAAGCTGCACTGCTTCCCAGGAGCTGGAGCTCGGGTGGGTTTCCTGGTGTTTTCACTGGCTTCAAGTCAGAGCAGCCTCTAGTTTCTGCTTTGAGTTTCTGTTCCTCCCATCCCTAATGACTTAAGCTGATGTGTGCTGTGCTCGTGAACCAGACCTGGCCTCAAGGACACTTCCAGGCAGCACCAAGGGACAAGAGAATCCTATTAGCTCCTGAGTGTGGCTGGCCATCCGTCCAGCTGCCTCGCAGCGTGGGGCACGTGCGCTGCTCCTTCGGTTTGTAATTCATTGTGCTCCTAATCGTGGGTTCAGCTGCTTTTAGTTCAGTCGAGGGTTTGGTAAGACCGCAGCCAGTAAGTCCCCTGTGGCAGCTTCATGTACTTAACTGCAGGGACTGCCCCCAGCCTGACCCCCAGCCTCGGGAGATTAGTGTGTTCCCAATCAAAACAGATTAACTATAAAGGGACTCCGTGTTCTAATTAATCTCCTTTTCCTGCAGAAACTCTTTCTGCGTAACTTGGATTATCCCTACTTCAAAGGAACTTCCATTTCTTTACAGGATGGTCAAAAACCTGCTTTGAAAACAGCGTTTTTAGGAGTGGGGAGTGGAGCGAGGTCCCCCCCGGGGCAAGCGAGGGGCAGTTCTGTCACTAAACACGAATGTCTTACCCTAAAACCCATGTGGGACTGTCCAAAGAACCTGCAGCCACATGGTAATCATGCTGCCATCCTGCTCAGGGCTGGGGAGTTCCTGTGCTAGAGAAACAGCATCCTCAAGGAGCTGGCATGTAACGTAGCCAAACACAGCCATGGCTCCCACATGGTGCTTCTGCTGTTCCCCAACAGCAAGTTTCAGGCTCAGCCTAGGGCACTAAAATGCTATGCAACACCAAACGGCTTCTCCTTCCCACTCGCAGCCATCATTCCCTAAAGCATCCCAGCGTTATCTCATCCTGACATCACCCAGGAAACATTTGGGCCTCGTCCCAGGTTTGGTTTTCCCTTTGGATAAGCAGCCGGTGGGGCCCGTGGCCACCCCAGGCCTGGACTCCCTTCCTTTGTCTTTGGGGTGTGGAATATAAATCATGTTTTTATGATTTTTTTGTAAATCTTTACTCTTTTTACACCTTGTTTTTTGTAAGCTGAAGTTTTCTTATTAAAAATGACACAAAACCAGAACTCCCCACGGGTCGTGTCATTATTGTACAGACTTTAATAACCATCTCGACGGGGGTACAGAATAAAATCCCACACGTGATGGCTTCACATCCCTGAAGACACCACTGGTGAGCCTCGCACGAGGAATCCACCTTCCCTCTGGCATCTAAAAGCTTTCCCCCCCTTTGTCACTGCTCCAGGCGTGGCGGGGCTGAGGTGTGAGCAGCAGCGCTGAGGAGGAGGAGGACGGGATGAGGACGGGACCTGCTCCTGCAGGCGAAGGCATCGCAAGGTGGAACGGCCGAACCCTGCTCCTGGTCCCGGTGGGCGCTTCCCGGTGGCTCTTCCTCCCTGTACCGGCGATGAGGCAGGGTAAGGAACAGCGGGGCTCGGTACCACCGTGTGCCATTGATGCCTGCCGGAGCCCGGCTGCGCTCGGGGGTCGCCTGGCACCGGGACACCCACTCCCGAGGGACTCACCGCTACGGGACGGGCTGCGGGGCCATCAGGTCGATGTCCGTCAGGTTCCGGGCGACCCAGACTCCAGCGGCGAACAGCCCCAGGTTCACCAGCAGGTTCCTAAGGGAGAAAGCGGAAGCGTTGGGTCTCGTCCCCGCTCCCTATCCTGTCCCCGATTCCGGTTCCTCTCCCTATCCCGTCCCTGCTCCCTGTCCCGTCCCGGTTCCGGTTCCGCTCCCTATCCCGGTCCTTGTCCCTATCCCGTCCCCGCTCCCTATCCGGTTCCTGTCTCTATTCCGTCCCCGTTCCCTGTCCCTTCCCCGCTCCCGGTCCCGTCCCCGCTCCCTGTCCCTGTCCCTATTCGGTCCCGGCCCCTGTCCCTATCCCGTTCGGCTCCCGTCCCCTATCCCGCTCCCGCACCTGCGGAAGTCGTTGCGGTCGGTGGCGAACCGGTACACGCTGCGCAGCCACCCGCCCAACCCCTGCGGGGCAGCGCCCGGCCCGCCCGCTGCCCCCGCCGCCGCCGCCGCCATGCTGCCGCCTGCTCCTGCTCGCCCCGGCGCGGCGCGATGGCGTCACTTCCGGGGCGCTTGAGGCGAGAACATGCGCGGCCTCCGCCGTTGCGCCGGGAGCGCTCGGCCCCGCTCGGCCCCGCTCGGCCCCGCTCGGCTCCCCGGGGCCGTGCCTCGGGGCCTGGGGGTTGCTCCCGCACCGCGGGACGGGAACCGCTCCCGGCCCCTGCGCTGACACCGCGAGGGGCAGGGGATTGTGAGAGCCAGGGTCCAGTGGGGCACAGGGAACCTGGAGAGGGGCTTGGGACAAGGGCCTGTAGGGACAAGCCAAGGGGAATGGCTTGAACCTGCCCGAGGGGAGACTGAGCTGAGCTCTTAGGCAGAAGCTCTTCCCTATGAATAATGTGCAGGAATGATTCGTGTCAACAATTTAGAACTCCTTGTGACCATTGTACCTTGTGTGAGAGGTATAAGAATGCTCATGACTATGGTGTTTGTTCGTGTCAATGCAATGATGAAAGGGAAAAAGGAACAAAGGGATAATCTCTTTGATCAATTGCCTACATGTTTGCATGGTTGGGTGACTGAGAGGCACATCCTGTTGCGGGATATTGTGAAACTTGGGTCTTCAACAGATGGACATATCAAGAGATGGAACAAACAGAGCTGGGGCTGTGGTTAAGCTTGTGACAAATGTTTTCCTGTTAATACATCACCAAGGAGTTCAGGTTCCTCTACTAAGAAGTTTCTTCACCTAAAAGAATGATAGGTGGATAGGCTTCACAGCTCTTAAGGTTATAAAGTAGATACGCCTTTATTCAGCTGAGACGCACGGGGGATTGTTCCTCCAAAGGCATGCACACCTCAGTGTCGTTTTCCTCTACATCTATCCTCTAAAGTACTACACGTGCATGAGGTTGCGCAACACATCTATGCATATTTATATCCTATCCCCGCTTCGTATTACAATGAGCTCAAAGGTCCTGCGCACATGCGCACTGCCTCCTGGTGGTCGTGGGCAAGGGTCCAGATGACCGAGTCTTCCTCGGGTAGACCTGAACTTTTCCCACCCCCTTGGTCCTCACGCATGCTCTTTAGGAGCCTGGAGGAGGCTGGTCTATGTCCAAATGGGTTTTGCTGAAGTTTTCCCTCTTAGGTTCTGGTACTGCATGGTGAAGCACCATAGGTATTTGCTGAGCAATGTATCTGTTAAGCAAGCCATGTAACTTAAGCAATACCCACTTGTACAACCCCCCCCCCAATACAATTTACCTAACCCCCTTGTACAATAGTCCACATCAAGACCTCAGCAACAGGAAAAGAACAATGAAAAGGGGCCACGTTGGCATCCAGGTAAAGAAGAAGAAGGGGTAGGCTGAGACCCAGGACCAGGAAGAGACTGAACCCCAAAGACCCAGTGTGCGTCTCTGGTGGAGCGGAGACTCCCCAGTGCAGCCAGTGCTGCTTGCTTATTGCCTCTCGATATTAATCAGTTGTAATGAAGTAATTAAATCAGACCATGGCTAAGACGGAGCTTTTATAACACCTGTGAGCTCACTTGCATCGTTGGAGGATTTTACTCCATGCTTTTTGCTTTCTCTTTTATCTCCTCCTCTGCTGACATTTGGTATCTGCCAGCCTCTCTCAGGCCTTCCTCTTCTCTCTTATCTCCTCCTACATTCCTGCAAGGTCATGTAAGGGATACAATTAGGAGTCGTGCCAGCAGCTTGGAAACCCTTGTAACCATTGCACTTGGTATAAGAAGAAAGAAGAAATCATGTAATAATCATTTTTTTTACATTAGTTAAGTGCCATAAGAATTTTATTGTAAAATTCTGAACACTTTGTAAACTTTAGAATATTGCCTAAAGGGAAACAGCTGTAACTGCCCAATATATGCTTATGCAAGATTGTAATCACAATATATAGGAACTAAGTCTTAAGCAAGTAACAGATGTCCGGTAGTGCCAACAATGCTTCTACAAATTGAGCTCTTTGCAAAGGGATGATTTGTCACTCAAAGGTGACGAGATAAGGAAGAAGAATGAAGCAATCTTCAAGAAAGCAGAATGAGCAAGAAAACAGAACAAGGACCCTAACAACAGGATACCACAGACTCAGACAATACCCTAGCAGGATACGTATGCAGGATGTGAAGAGCACAGATACTAGATGTGATAATGTATAAAAGAGTAAAACCCTAAAGAGACGGTGTGCGTTGCTGGTGGAGTGAAGGCTCCCCTGCGCACCCAGCGCTGCTGGCTTATTGCCTCTCAATAAACTGTAAATAAATGAAATTTGGACCCAAACCCTGTCTATGATGGATTTCTATAACAGTCAGAAGCTTGTTCCACACTCCCTGTGCACACGGGACTTTCTGCTGCTGGGCTGACCTGCTTGGACCAGGCTGTTATCAAAGCGTTCCCAGCCAGCAGCAAAGCCTCCCACTGCTATCAGCACATGGGAGGTGTTGCAGTGCTGGAGGGGCTGGGTGATACGCGTGTACCTTGGGCTTCCTGGGAGTGCTGCTCTCATAGGAATGCAGGGAAATAGGGAGGAGTTGACTCTGGAGGTGCCTGGTTGCTCCGGGAGGCCCGGCCATAGTTGGAACCAACACCGGGCTCCATCCGCAGGGCTGCTGCCAGCGTTAGGAGGTGACCAGACACCCCAGATCCCCCCAGGATAAGGCTGGGAGCATCCCAGAGACTGCGTGGCTGACGCAGGTGATGCTAGAGCTGGGTGGAAGGAGGTGCAAGCGTGGTTGCAGGGTCCCCCCTTGCAGGGGTGCTCCATGTTCGGGGGGGTGCAGGGGTCCCCCTTGCACGGAGCAGGGGCTGACGCGGTGCAGTTCGCAGGTCTTGCATCCAGCAGTGCTTTAAGGGCGGATGGAGCTGGGGTAACCGGAGGAATTCGGCTGTGCCTGTGCCTCTGAGGGGAGGGACACCACGTTCCCTGAAAGGCTCCAGGGGAACTCCCCGGAGGGCAATTAGCACCTGGCTGTAATTGGTTTGCGTGGAGCCGGCGCTGGGGCGGGGAGGTGCAGGGGCCTGGGGGGATTTCATCCCAGTTCCTCAGTGCTTGCTTTCTGCGGACAGGAGAGCTGCTGCCGGGTGAAACTCCAGCGTGTGCTTCCCTTCGCTCTGGTGCTGCGGTGAGTGGTGCCCAGTGCCTCCTGCCAGCGGGGATGGGGGCTGCGGGCATCCACTGGTGGCTCTGGGAGCCCCAGTATCGGGTCAGAGCATCCCTGACTGCACATTGTGGTCGAGGAACCCACAAGGGCCCTGCTAGGGAATGTGGGCAGTGCCCGTTTGCCTCCGGGTCTGAGTCCTTTGCCCCGATGCAGAGCCCCAGCTGGGCAGGGGGGTTTCAGCGCCAGCGGCTCTGCTGGGATCCATGGGGATGATGCTGTGGGGTTTGCAAGGGTTTGAGGCGTGCTTGCGAACGAGGGGGGCTCAACCAAGGTGTTGGGAGCATAAAACCAGTGAGGAAGATGCACAAGCTCTCTGTGGGTCAGGATGATGGCAGTGGGCACAGGGACCAGGCGGAGGAGCTCTGTGGGATGCGGAGCAGGGTGGATGCTGCTCGGTCCCGTTGTGCTGCTTGATACCGAAAGGTGTTTTATCCAACGGCTGCTGGATATACCTGTGGCCAAGAAATACCCGTACACCACAACCACAAGGCTGGACCACAGTCCCACCCACAGCGCTTTGTGCAATAACCGGGTATAAACACCCCAACTGTACCCTATGGCGATGAGAGTTCCACACCTGGTTGTATGGGCAGCTGGAGGGGTTTGTCCACCTCACCCTCCCCAGAAGGCTTTTGGCAAGACTCAAGCGTTTCACGCTGGGAAATCTGGCTTTTGATTGCAACTGCATTGTTGATGCTGTGGCTATTCTGTGGTTAATGTGTTTTATCTCTGGCAACCCAAAAGAGCCGCATATCTTGCATGTGAATAAGCTGTACTGTGAACCTGACAGGGCTTAAAGCTAACAGGGCTATGGGGTTAGTTATGCTTTTGGGTTTGCAACACATGGAAGCAGCCGTGGTGCTGGGAGGCCCCGTGTCCATAGGGAGCTGCAAGGACGTGGCACAGGCCGGCAGTGATGTACTGAGGGATGCATGTGCTCACCCGCACCAATCCCTCCACAGCAGGGTGCTGACCCCTCTGGGGCCCTTCTCCTCCCTGTGACCGCGGCCAGGAGGAGCTGCAGGCAGGATGTTCCCACCCAGGGGCTTCAGGAGGGACTTCCCCAGACAGGTAGGTGGGTTTGGGACCCCCCCCCCCTGCTGCTGTGCTGCCAGGGTAGTGGGAGGGGGGGAGCCTTGGGGGGGAAAGGGGGATGCTCCATTGCATAGGATGCTGAGGAGGCAGGAGAGCATCACTGATGTATGGGGAAGAATTGGGAATCGTCTGCGACCTCATGCAGGGGAAGAGGATGGATGGGCTCCTGGCTCCCCATCCCTGCCCAGCATCCAGCTGGTGCAAGGGTCAAGGTGAGGGTCCCATCCTGCTTTCACCTCCCTGTGCTCTCTCCACAGCCTGGTCCTTGGCAAGCTGGACCATCACCACCCCGACATTATGGCCTCCAGCACAGGTGGGATGAGATGCCCCAGCACAGGAGAGGCAGAGGCCAGTGGTGCCCGGTAAGGGGCCATGCAGTGGGGAGAGATGGTGCTGTTGGGGTTCACCTGCAAATCTGGGATAGCCAAAACCAGGGGTTCCCCATGGAGCAGGAGAGGCAGAAGGAGCTGAGCGCTGCCATGGGGAGGGGGGAGCACAGCAAATCTAAACCCAGGGAGCTGCCATCCTTTGCAGCCTAAACCCTGGGAGCCCTTCCCTGGTCCTGCTGACTTCCATGTGGACAAGGAGGACAGGGGATGGGCACCCAACAACTGCCTCCCGCCACCATCCTGGCACAATGAAGAATGTGACCAAGGACCTGAGGAGTGCTGCGGAGAGGGCTGGTACCCGGTATGGGGAGGTGGGCCAAGGGGATGGCAGCTGCGTGGCTGTCCCCAGTGTGCCACTGTCCTCACTGGTGGGGATTTGCCATTGCAGCCCTGGCACTCTGAGCCCAGACCCTTCCCTGGCCCTGATGACTTCTATGGGAATGAGGAGAACAGGAGGTGGGGACCCCGTGATGGGTTGCCTCCACGCCACTGGGACAATGAAGAATGTGACCAAAGACCTGAAGTCTGCTCCAAAGAGGACTGGTACCCGGTGAGGAGAAATGGACCAGAGGGGTGGCAGCTCCCTGTGTGCCACTGTCCTCACTGGCTTTGATTTGTCATTGCAGCCTTGGTCCTGTGACCCCAGGCCCTTCCCTGGCCCTGCTGACTACTATGGGAATGAGGAGGACAGGGGATGGGCACCCAGTGACTGGTCCGCTCCATGCTTTTGGGGTGCCAGAGATGATGGAGGACCTGAGGAGTGTTTTGGAGAGGGCTGGCACCCGGTGAGGGGTGGTGGACTGGGGGCAAGGAACGGGTGAAATGAGCCAGGGGCCATTCACTGCCATGGTGAGCAGCACAATGCATGGGGCCAGGTTTCCCTGCATGGCAAGACCCCCAGCATCCCCTGCCCTGCTCTGTGTCTAAACCTACCTCGTTCCCTGCAGGAGACGATGCCACCCAGCCCTGACCGCTCTACCTGGCGTGAACTCCCCAATGAGAGGCAGCAGCTACCCTGGCCCCCTGCCCACCAGACAGGGTGAGTGCCTGTGCCCATGGTGGGGGACACGGGGCCAGGCTCTGTGGCCAGGCACAGCCAAGGAGGGGGATGCAGCTTTGGAGCTGGCTCAAGGTCAGGGGGTTGCACTGGAGATCCCTTCCAGCCTCAATCCCATCTCCTGCATCTGCCTTTGCTCCTGCAGGGAGCGAGGCGGCTTCCAGGATCACTGCAAGCCCTGGGGCTTCCATGGCCCTGCTAGGAGACACTGCCAACGCCTTCACAGAGGCCCCCAGAAGTTAGCCATGGTCCTGCGCCCGCTGTGTGCTCGGCCCAGAGGTGTGTGCCTTACACTGTGCTCAGCACCAGCTCCTCATCGCTCAGCATCAGCTGCTTGGGCAGAGCGAGGAGTTGCTCCCGTTGTGTTTCTCACTCCACAGGGTATTGCCCACCCTCTCAGTCCACTCCCTGCTCCCTGATGAGCCAGCCAGTGGTCAAAGAAGAGCCTCAGCCACTTACTCCCATCCAAGCTCCTGTGCAGAGCGGGGAGCAGCAGGCTAAGGTGATGGGATTTCACTCCTTACATCCCAAACGGTGACCGGGTTTGCCTGGCTGGAGCCCCACACGGTGCTGACCCTCACTGTGTCCTCCAGGACCTGCCAGCCGCCAGTCAGAAGGTGCCAGAGTGCTCCAGAGCCACCAGCACCTCCCAGAAGAGCCTGGCTGCTGATGCCCGGGTTGTGACAGAGGCTGTGAAGCCAGAGCAGGCAGCAGGAGAGATGCTGGTAGGAGATGGCTCCTCTCCTGGGGCACCTCTGGAGGTGTCTCAGGGTCTCCTTGGCCAGTGTAGCTCCCCCTCCTCGCTCTCATCCATCCCTTTTGCTCTTCACCTTCCTGTCTCTTTGCCAGCCATGGGGATTTTCCTGACTCTCCTCCAGGGCTGCAAAGCCCCGTGGTTTCCTTTGGGTTTTCCTTTGTCCCCAGGGACAGACACCACTGCTTGTCCCCAGGTTGAGTGGGCAGCCAAGGCCCTTCTGCTTTGGAAACAGAGCCAGCCCCACTGGAGAAGAGCTCTGCTGGGCCAGGGGAGCAGCTCCTCCTTCCCTGCTAAGAACAGAGCCCAGGGAGCTTGCAGTCCCCTTTGCAACCCCTTTTACCCCTTTGCCTGGTTGGCATCACCAGCCCTCACCATGGGCTCTGCAATGCTTTGTTACAGGTAAAGCCGTGCAGCCAAAGCAGCCCTGAGGCTGCTGCGGGGTCGCATCCCTGCAGTCCCACAGCCCCTCCGGAGCCTTCTGAGCCATCCCAGGGCCAGCAGGGCAGGGCAGAAGCTGACAGTGCTGGGGTGAGCAGCCCCATTGTGTGTGTCCCCCCCCATGGGAGAACCCAGCGAGCGCACTGCTGCAGGCAGGGCTGTGCTGGCTCCCCACACACAGCTTCTTGGTGACCTTCAGCCATTCAAACACTTGCAGGTCCCAGCAGAAGATCTCATAGAGCCCAAGGTAGAACCCAGAGACGCTTCCTCCTATACCTGCATCAAACCAGAGACCTCACCAGGGACCCAGCACCCTCCTGGATCCAGTGAGGTGAAACCGGTACGGGGCAGGGTGTCTCTGCTCCCACTCCGAGGTGTCCCTGCGTGGGGCGGGTGCCCTGGGATGCTGCCGCAGCTTGGGAGCAGGATCCTGTTGGCAGGATGAGGGCTGGGTTCAAGTGCTGCTTTGTCTGGAGGCAGAGCCCGTGGCAGCCCCGGCGCTGGCTGCCGGAGATGCCGATAAATGGGAATGAGCTGGGAACAGGCCAAGAGAACAGGGAGAGGTGTGATGGAGCGTGACCGACCTGGGGCTCCAGCCTCAGCGAGAGCGATGCAGAGCAGCTTATTTACTGCTTAATGGAGAAGAGAAAGCTGCTGGGGGGAGCTGGGGCAGCTCTTGCATCTCAGAGAAGGGGTCCCCACTCAGGGTGACCAGTCCCTGGCTAGTAATGGGTGCTGGTAGCCCCAGTTCAACCTAAACCTTGCCCAACCCCGTTCTCCTTCAAAGGGTCTGACTCTTCCTCACCTTTTCCACTGCACAGGCTGCAGGTGACTCACACCAGCTCTGCTCCAAGCTCCCAAACCCCTGTGCAGACAGCACGGACCTCGTCCGCTCTGCTGCTGTCCTCGCCAGGAAGGAGAAGATTGAGCTGGTGAGTCCTTGTGGCCCCTGAACCATTGGGGGAGAAGTGATGCTGGGCGATGTGGGATGGGAGTTTGGTACTTGGGGGTCACTAGGGGGAAACGCCTCTTGGCAACAGTGGTCGTAGGGGAAGTGCTTGTGGGCGAGATATATGGGCTCATGGGGTTTGTGGTTGGGGTGCATGCTGTCGGTGGGGAGGTTTTGGGGGGTGCTGTGCTGACCCCATGCTGCTCCCCTGCAGTCCTACCAGCAGTTCAGCCTGACCATCGCAGTGGTGGCCTTGATGCTGCTGCAGAAGGAGCCCTCCATGGAGGCAGCGCTGGGGCTGGCGCTGAGGGCGAACCTGCGCCAGGGCCGCATCCACCACCTCCAGGAGCTGGAGGACTTCATCGACAGCTACGACTCGGCCACCCCGAGCCACTGAGGGTGCTGAGCCCTCAGGTCAGGATGTGATGGACACGTTGGGGTGGCCCCACCATCTCTCATGGACATGGGGAAGGAGGAGGGTGCTTTGTTTTAACCCTGCTCAGTGCGGGGAGGCCGCAGTGTTTGCTCCCCTCCACACCAGCTCCTTGCTCCATTCGGGGTTCACAGGGATGTGCCCTGAACCCCCCTGGTTGTTCTTGGGTTTACATCTAAATTAAACCAGTTGTGATCTTTGCAGCTCTTGCTCTGGCATCGTTCTGGTCCCACTCTCCTGTGGTTGCAGAGTCCACCATGGGGGATCACTGGTGGCACGGTCAGTGCCATGCTGACCCCAAGGTAAGGAGGAATGGGGACAGAGCTGTGCTGGCTCTCCTGCTGTCAGATTTCAGCCAAACTTTATTGGAGCATCGTCGTTGGCAGCAGCAGAGCTGCTCCCTTGGCCCTCCCTTGGTGCCATGAGGGATGGAGCATGCTTGGCCATGGCGCTCATCCTTCAACGTGTCCCAGTGAAGGAGCCCCCCTGCAGCCAGGACCCTGCCTGTCCCCACGGCTCCCCAGCAGCAGGAGGATGCAGGCAGCTCTGCCTTTGTCCCCTCCCCTGCATGCGGCTGCCACCGTGTCTGCGAAGGGAGGCCGCAGCTCCCTGCTCCCTACCTGCTTTTCCTGTTCCTAATTGCGGGAGAGGCCGCTGGGAATCGCGGCTGTTGTTTGCCAGCGGGGGGGGGGGGGGGAAGGATCCCAGCAGCTTCCCATGAGCCTTGAGCTGCATCCAGCACACACTTGGAACGGGGGGAAGAGCACGGCAGGGGCTGGCAGGGCAGCAGCGCGGGTCCAGCACCCCCAGTCCCTGCTGCTAGGACACGCTGCAGTGCTTGCTGCTGCCCCATGGCTTCGCCGTCCTGCCCCTGGCCCTCTCCGGGGCCTCCCTGCCCAGGGAGCTCATCCCGGGCTTGGGAATGGGCTTCCCGAAGAAGAATCCCTCTTCCTCTGAGTCCGTGTCTGAAGATGAAGAGCAGGTGGGACACCAGGAGTCATCCTCCTCTGTGATGTCCTGCGGGTCGATGTCCTCCGGCTGCAGGCTGTGCTGGGCAGGGGATGTGCCCGCTCGGAAGGATGCGTTTCCATTGCCTGCGGGTGCTCTGGCATCAGAGCCCCCCAGAACTGGGTGTCCCAAGGCTCCGGGCTCATTGGGACCCTCTGTGCTGGGCTGGGGGGCAGAGGGGTGTCCGGCTGCTGGTCCCAGCATCCCTGTGTGCGCAGCATCGCTGCTCCGCTCCTTACCCGCAGCTCCGCAGCCCTCCCGGCTCCTAAACGCAGGATGCACGGGGGCCGGGTCTGGAGGAGCCTCTGGAAGAAGGAAAGCAAAGGTGGGTGAGAAGGGGAAGGCTGAGCCTGCCCTGCCCCAGCCCCTCGGGGTGCACAGAAGGGTTTTACCCACCCAACCCCAACCGCCAGCATTCATTCACCCTCCTGTGGGCAGTGGGCTCATTGCTGATGCTTCATCCCCGTCCCCATAAAGTACCCAGGGGCTGAGCAGAGCCAGGTTTTGCTCCCGCCCCCTTCCCACCCCATCACAAGCGGAGCAGCAGCATCCCTACCGGCCCCTTCCACCGGCTCCCTGCAGCCCCCGCTGCCGCCCGTCCTGCCCGCGGGGCTGGCTCGGGACAGGGGCGTCGAGTCCGGGGACGGAGCGGAGGCGAAGGCGGAGTCGGAGGAGTCGGAGGCGCTGGAGGCTCCGTCCTGCCGCCGGCTGCACGCCTCGGAGCAGAAGAGCCGCCCTCGGCGCGCCGTGAGGGGCTGCCCCCGCAGGGGCTTGCGGCAGCGGCTGCAGCAGAAGCAGGCGGCCCGGGCGTGCCAGCGCAGCCCCTGGTGCGTGGCCTCCTCGCTGTCAGCACCTGAGGGGCAAGCAACGGGTAAGGGGGAGGCTCTGCCCGCAGCCCCGTCCTTCCCACCCAGCCGCAGGGATCGGGCTCCGGAGCGGCAGCTCCCAGCCCACGTCCTGCCTGGAGGGCTACAGGGATCCTTTGCGTCAGGGATGCGGCAACAAGGCAAAGGGTGATGGGTTCAAACAGAAACAGGGGGAGTTCAGGTTGGAGATAAGGAAGAAGCTCTTCCCTGTGAGGGTGCTGAGGCGCTGGCACAGGGTGCCCAGAGAAGCTGTGGCTGCCCCATCCCTGGCAGTGCTCAAGGCCAGGTTGGACACAGGGGCTTGGAGCAAGCTGCTCCAGTGGAAGGGGTCCGGGTTGGAACTGGATGTGCTTTAAAGTCCCTTCCAACACAAACCGTTCCTGGATCCTATTTCACTGTGCCCGGGGTGAGGGGCATGGGTCCGTACCGATGGGGTCCCCGCAGGCCTGGCAGGGCTCAGCAAAGAGGCTCTCGAAGCATCCACGGCAGCAGGGGCGGCCGCTCTGCATCACGTAGCGCTGCCCGCGCAGGGGCGCATCACACTCCAGGCAGCAGAAGTGCTCCAAGTGCCAGCGCCGGCCCTCGGCCTCGATGCATTCCTCCATGAAGATGAGCTGGAGGGGGAAAACCATCCATAAAGGATCCATCTGGAACCCCGTAGCCTGGAGGATGCTTTGCTGTGCTGAGAGTACAGCGCCTCAGGAAGGAACATTTCCTCTTGCCCATCAGCGTGTCTGCAGCTCCAGATGAGCATGGGGGCTCTTACCAACACAAAAGGGAGGTAAAAGCCTCCCCTTTGCCCAGCACTCACCTGGTCGCAGGAGGCACAGCGGGGCCGAAAGAGCTCAGCGTGGTGCCGGCCGCAGTAGATCCTCCCATCCTGCTGGAAGTAGATGAGGTCCACCAGGGGCTGGTGGCAGAAGTGGCAGGAGAAGCAGGACGGGTGCCAGAACTGGTCCCCGAGGAGCGATGCTGAGACCCCTGGGTCCCCCTTGTTCAGCCTCCGGCCGCACTGCAAGGCAGAAGGGATGCGGTGGTTGGAGGCAGGCTGGGGATGGGTCCCCACTGGGGAATAAGGGGTGCTCATCGTGGGGATGCTTCACCTTCTTGCAGGGACAGCCATGGCAGGGACCCGGCACGGGGCATGCGAGCCCCTGCCCCAGCGCCTCGCGTCTCCGTCGGGCACTGAAGGCTCGGAGCTGCCTCCTCTCCTCCTCAGCGAGGTCAGGGCAGTACCGCTCCTGCACAGGGAGGTGGAGGTGAGGGGACGGGGTGCGGGTGAAGCCCAGGGTGGGCAGCACCCAACTGATAGGTGTCTTACATCGCAGTCCTGAGGGGGCAGCTGCTGCAGGAGGGCTCTGGTGCGGAGCTGGAGGCTGTCAGTGGGTGAGGAGGGATGCGGAGCGCGGGCGCCGGAGCACGGTGGGACCTGAGGGTGTTGTGGAGAGGAGAGAAACACAAGTGGGCTTTTAGGGGGGTTCAAGCTGCATTGCTCAAACATGTGGGGTTGCTGTGCTGTGGGTACCACTGTGGATGGTGATACTATTTCCATCATCCCAGGGCTGGGGATGCTCTGCTGTGGGTACCACTGTGGATGGTGATACCCTTTCCATCATCCCAGGGCTGGGGATGCTCTGCTGTGGGTACCACTGCGGATGGTGATACCCTTTCCATCATCCCAGGGCTGGGGATGCTCTGCTGTGGGTACCACCATGGATGGCACCCACAAGGCTGGGAGAGATATAGGATGCTCCCACCTTGGGGGGCGCAGGCTCCGTGGGGGGCTCCGGATACTCTTCCAGGGCACAGCCGGAGTCGCTGTCAGATGAGGCCAGCGGGAGGCTGCTGGTGGTGGTGGTAGTGGTGCCGCAGGGAGGGGGCTCATCGCGCTGGGGCCATGCGGTGCTGGGCAGGGACATGAGCTGGGGAGACAGGATGGGAGCTGGTGAGAGCCTCAGCGAGGCTGGAGTAGGGCACTGATGGGATGGGGATGGGTTGAAGCTGTGCAGGGCAGACCCCGGGTGTCCACGCTCAAGCAGCACGGAGGTTTCCTCACCGGTGCTCTGCTGGCACAGCTGATCCCTGGCCTGGTGGCCTGGCCCTGAGCAGGGCAGTGGGAGGAGACCGAGGTCCAGCCTAATCCAGTGGAAAATCGTGTGTTCCCCTCGGGCTGCTATTGTTCTGCAGCCACCACCTCGCCAGGCCCATGGTTACGCAGTGGAAACCCATCCTGCGCGTCCCCTCCTCCCCATGCGGTTCCTCACCGCTCGCTTCCTTCCTGCCTTGGCTTTCCAAAACAAAGCCTGACCAGGGGCTCCTGGGGCTCCCTGGACACCAGCCCAGAGCCCAACGCCCTCTGCCCGTGTTTCCTGCCCTGGTGCAGGGATGGGGTGGGATGGAGCTGAGCTGGGTCCCAGCGCCGTGACCAAACAGCCCCAGAGCACCCCTGGGGATGGTTCAGTGCCCACCATGGATTGAGGGACTGCTCTGGGAAGTGTTTTACACAGCAAAGAGCTTGGCCTGGGCTCAGAATAAGGGTTGTGGGGTGGTAGCCCCCAGGCCATGCACTTAGGTCCTCCTGCATCAGTGCCACCATGAGGACCAGTTCACCCAGCCCATCCTGGCCAGCGCCAGCACCAGCAGCCACATCCCCACTAAACAGCTTCAAACCCCCCCTGCTCCCTGCACCACAGATCACTCCCCTTCCTATGTAGGATCTCTGGGTGATGCATCCAAACGTGGCCAGCTCTGGAGCTGGGATCAGCCAGGACCGCTCAGGTTTCCCCACCAAGCACCTGAGTCAATGATTAACGCTGCAGGTTGGCTCATCAGGGGTAAAACAAAAGGGCTGCTGGTTCTTCCCTGGGGTTTGGGCTTACACTGCAGGGCTGGTTGCGTGGTGCTGTTTGAAGCTGTGCTCAGGAGGGGATGGGGATGCAGTAACTTGTCCCAGCTCTGTGTATCTGCAGACGAAAGACAGCCCTGGCCTTCCTGATGTGGTGAAGGGCTGCTCTGCCACTGCCGGTGTTGGGCCAGGGAGCAGCCTTGGCTTTGCAGCTCCTAAGGAAGATGTGTGTCCCTGGGGATGATGGATGGGAACCTCTGTGGGCTCCATGCCCATCCCCAGCCCTGCTGCTACCTCGTCTGGGTAAGTGTCCCTGCTGAGCTTGGCTAATTAAGCCTCCATGTTGCATTTATCTAATCTGTTGGGGCTTGGCTGGGATTAGACCCCTGTGATGCTCTGCAGCCCCGGTGGTACCCGTGGAACCCCATCCCTGCGGCAGCGTGCACAGGGCACCTCTTCCCATCAGCAGGGTGATGCTGGGGGACCCTGGTGAGGGCAGGGCTCCTGGATCCGTGGGGATGTGCTGGGGAGCCCAGCCCGGTTTGATGTGATTACGGCGGCTGGCAGCCGTCTGGGCTGCAGACAAGTCCCTGTAATTAGCCCCAGACAGTGACAGAGGTACGCACCCCATGCTAAGGAGCCAGGCAGCCCCAACAGGTCCGGCTCCTCTGCTCCCCATCCCTATTCCCGCTTCCTTCCTGCCTTCCCTCGCTGCCTCCAGGCAGTCCTGCTCCTGCTCCTCCCTGCTGGCCTGCGAAGGGATACAAGGATGCTCCCAGCCTCAGGAACAGGGGCAGGAGAGCCTGGACCAGGCATCAGCGTGCTTTGGGGGCCTGCTCTTCCCTGTGCACACAGACCTGAGCGCTGTTGGTGCATCCCCCAAAGAGGGATGTGTGACAGACCAGTCGGGCAGGCTGAGTGCCACCGGCTCTCATTTGCCTCTGCCTTAGAAGTCTCTGGTTCTGCCTGTGGGAGCTTCTCCAGGCTACGACTGCTCAGCTCCCCTGTGCTCCCCAAAGGATGGGTGACGGCCCCGCTGTGCTCCCCTGCCTGCTCACAGCCCCTCGATGTCCAAAGGGATTCATGGGGATCTCCATCTGGTTTGGCTCCCTGGGAGCAGCCCCTGTCTCCAGCTGGCTCCCAGCCCTCCCCTGCCAAGGTCACACATTAACTTGCAGCGCAGCCACCCTGGCCTATTCACATTCAGCACAGGCTCCCTGCTCCCAGCATGGGCTCCATCTCTGCCATAGCCTTTGGCTATCTGAAGCCTCCATCTCACAACATCCCACCTTCAGCCCCCTCCAGAAGCACCGAACACTCCACAAGCCCGGGGTAACACAACAGCTCAGCCCTACCAAAAAGAGCAGATCCCCTTTCAAGCACCCAAACGCAGCGGCAGCCCTCGGAGGCGCAGCTCTGTGTTCACCACCTCACCCACAGGATAACCTGTTTTCGCTTGAGCTCCTGTCAACACAGCTGCAACGGGGCTACGTGGAAATAAAGATGGGGAGCAATAAAGATGCAGCTCTTCTGGAGAGAGATAAGCTGAGGTCTGGCAAGGCAAGGCAAGCCAGAGCAGCAAGTCCTGCAGCACAGCCTGAGCCAGGATGGAGCCTGGCTCACAAAGGAGCCCGAGGTGCCTTTTGGCCCTGTGATGGCACCAAGTGGAGCAACACTCAGGCTGGACACAGCAGTCTCTGGGTCAGCAGGGTGAGTGTAACCCCCCATATGTTCAGCATCCTGCTCCACCATATGGCACCACACCACCGGAGGGGACCACGGGCTGCTCTGCTCACTGGGGGATGCGCCAGTGCTGCAAAGGGCTTTTCCTAACGTGTTTTTCCCCATCCAACCATTCCCGGTTCACAGGGAGCAGTGACCCATTAACCCATGGGTGTGAACCGAGCGCCAGCACCCGCCTCTCCCCGCAGCCACCGCGCTCCATCCCGGCACATCCATGTGCGACGGGGCCCAACCTCCATCACCAGCCCCAGAACATCCCATTCCACCTAATCCCGGCTGGAGGCAGGATGCCAGAGCTCAGACCCCTTCTGTAGCCCCTCACATCCAGAGACACAGCACCCCATGCCCAGTCCACCCTGGCACTACACCATGGAGCAGACCCCATCTCTTGCTCTCAGCGGGGCAGCGACACCCTTCTCCTCCCTCCATTTCTTCCTCCGAGAGAAAAACAGCCCCCAAAACCCTCCCTTTCCCCCCATCCACCTCCTGTTCCCTTTACAACAACACCCGGACGCGGCTCTCCCTCCCAACCACCCCAACCCAACCCATACTCACCCTGGGACACCCCCTGCGTACCCCGGCACACACCTACCTGCCCCTTTTCCTTGCTTTGGGCTCCGCGCTCCGTCGCTCCGTCCCCTGCCTTGTCCCGGTCGGGAATGGAGGAGGTTGGGCCGGGAACACGGTGCAAAGCGAAAGGAAAACATCCAATCTGAGCCAGGGAAACAGCTTGGGTTTTCCCCCCTCCTCAACCTCTCTCGTTGTGTTTAATCCGCCTGCCCAAGAGCCGGCTCCGTGTCAGCGGGGTCCTAATTACAGCTTTTCAGGGATTTCAGCCTAAACCTGCCGCGGCAGCCAATGGCAGGGGAACCCCGCGGTAGGCGGGGAGGGGAAGAGCAAAGGGCGGTGTGGATGTATGTGTATGTGTATGTATGTGTATGTGTGTGTGTGTGTGTAGGGGGGGGACCCACACACGCATTAACCCGCGGGGCAGGAGCGCCGGTGACATCGGCGCTGCTCCCTGCCTCTCATTTTCCGTCCGCGCCTCGGTTCAGCCCAGGTTACCGGTTTTGATGGCTTTTATGATCCAAGCCCGGATTTGTTTTCCAAGGCGGCTCAGGGGAAGAGGCGAAGCTTCATGAAAGAGCGGGAAGTGTCATTACAGCTCCATTTAGAGGTGGAGGAACTCCGGCTGGGCTCTCACAAAGGAGGGAGCCAGGGGCGAGGCGGGATGTCCTAGTTTCCCAAAGCCCTGCTCACCTGACGGCTCTGCCTTAAGAGCCCATTCAGACCGGCTTCGGCTGCAGCGATTGCACCCGGGCAAGAGGCAGGGTAGAATGCATCAGAGGCTCTGACGCGAGGCACAGCGTCCTTGTTGTGCTTCGGTGTGTTTGTCACATGCCAGGAGGTTTATCCTGCCCGATGATGGGACTTTAGGGATGGGCATGGACGCAGCATCCCTCCAAACCCCCTCATCCGCAGGGGCTGATGCCCAGGAGCTGCTGCTTGGTTTGGGGCTCCATGAAGTGGAGGAGGCCCCATGTGTTATATGGGGTTCTGGGGACCAGGGTCAGGATGGCAGCCTGGATCTGCAGGGGTGGTAATTGGATAGAGGAGGTGGCCAGGATCTGTGGCACCACCGGTAGAGGCCGTGCAGGGCAGTGTTGGTGCATTATTACATGGATATGATGCATGGGTGATTTATAGCTTTGCAAATACCTCTGCAAAATCACCTGGGCAGGGAAAGCAGCAGGAGGAAAAGGAGAAGGGGCAGACGAACATCTCCATAGGCCTCCAAACCCCGCACTGGAGTCCTATTGGAGCTGCCATACCAGCCCTGTAATTCCACAGGGACCCTTTAAGGGCTCGGATCTGTGCCAGGGACGTTAATCCGCTGTTTGGCTTTGCTGGGAGGTTGTTCTGCACTGCTTTATCTTGACCCACTCACTGCTGTGGACTTTGTACCCCTGTGTGGTGCTGGGCCCCCTTCCTCGCCACTGCTCCCAGCGCTCCTGCATCCCTCTGCAGCATGGGATGATTGATGGGCAGAGTCCTTGTTAGGGACTTGGACTTGATGCGTGAGGCACTTGGGGCTTTCTAAGGAAGGACACTGAGCACATTGCAGCCCAGATCCCCCCCATGTGCAGCAGGGCACGGAGGGGATCCTGCCCCTCTGCTGTGCTCTCATGAGACCCCCCCTGCAGCCCTGCTCCAGCTCTGGGGCAGCAGCACAAGAGGGACGTGGAGCTGTTGGAGCGAGGCCAGAGGAGGCCATGGAGATGCTGCGAGGGCTGGAGCAGCTCTGCTCTGGAGCCAGGCTGAGAGAGCTGGGCTGGGGCAGCCTGGAGAAGAGAAGGCTCCTGAAGGGGAGACCTTAGAGCAGCTCCAGTGCCTAAAGGGGCTGCAGGAAACCTGGAGAGGGGCTTGGGACAAGGGCCTGTAGGGACAGGCCAAGGGGAATGGCTTGAACCTGCCCGAGGGGAGACTGAGCTGAGCTCTTAGGCAGAAGCTCTTCCCTGTGAGGGTGCTGAGGCGCTGACCCCCATCACACCCAGACCCCCAATCCCCTTCACTGACCCCCACCATCTCCCCTGCCCCAGACCCATCCCCACTGCCCCCCCCCATTGACCCTACAGCGCCGCATCCTGCCCCAGAACCCCCAATCCCCCCATTGACCCCCCCAACCCGGGGGACACCCAAGCCCCGCCCCTCCCTGTGACCACGCCCCTTCCCCAGTCTCCGCCCCCTCTCGGCGCTGTCGCCGCGGGCCCAGCCCGCCCCCTGGCGGCCGCCCTTGCTCCCGTCCGGGTCCTCCCCGCCCGCGACGCTCTAGGCGGCGGCCGCCGGACTCGCTGCTCCTGGCGGGCCCGGCCCGCGCTGTGGGACGCGGCGCTGGCGGGGCCGGACCCGCACCGGGACCCCCGCACCCGGACCCCCGGGGCCGGGCCGGGGGCCGGGCGGCAGCGGGGGCCCGGGCCTCAGCTCTGCGGAGCCGGGCAGCGCCTCAGGTACAGACCCGCGCCCGGGCCTTCCCCCGGCACCGGCCGCGCTCCCGTCTCCCGCTCCCCTCGTGCCTTCCCCGCGTTCCTTTTGCGCCCTCTTCCCCGTTATCCCCCGGGCCTCGCCGCTTCCTCCTCCCCTCCAGCCCCTTCCCCTGCCCGCGGCCCCGCTTTGGCCTTTCCCCTCCCTCCGTGCCGTCGGTCGGTGCGGGGCCGTGTGAGCCGTTCCGCTCCCGGTGTCCATGTGCGGGGCTGCGCGGTGGGGCCCTGGTCCCTTGGGAGCAGGGGGAAGCGCTGGGGTGAGGAGGGCAAAGATGGAGGGGGGGTGGTCTTGAATGGACGGGGCTGCTGTGGGAGCAACAGGCAGCAGTGCAGGCAGGGCCGAGGAGGGATGCGAAGGCTTGGGGAGGGTTTAGGTCTAAGGAGGGTTTAGGTTTGGGTGCTGGGAGAGGGGAGGGTGGGCTGCAGGTGTGGGGGGGAGCAGCCATGGTGCCATTGGAGTGCTTGGATTGACAGGTTAAAGGCTGTGAACTGGGGAAGGTGCGCATGGGAAGCGCTGAGTGAGTGAGAGTGAAGCGTGGAAGTGATGCCCCTGAAATACGGAGCAGTGAGGAGGAGCAGGAAGGGCCCAGGGAGCGTTCAGGCATCCCAAGCTGCGGGTTTGCTTCTTGCTTTGGGCAGTTCTGACCACGGTAACTGCTTGGGGGAGGCAGCAGCTCTTCAACCAAACCCCACTGTGGGTGAGATGTGAGGGGAGGGAGCACCAGAGGGAGAAAGGGATAAAGGGGACAGAGGGGACAAAGGTAACATGTTTTCTACCAGGTGCTGGTGTTTTTACTGATGCAATGGGAGTGGGAGGGCAGAGACAGCAGAGGACAAGGCCCCCAGTGACCAGAATAGATGGAGCAGTGAGGGATCTGTTGCTAAATTACTGAGCAAAGCTTGTAAGGTCAGCAGGGAGTAAATCCATAACAGAGCCTAAAAAAACCAATAGGATGGGGTTGAACCGGGTGTGTATGGGGTTGGGGTGATGGGGACATGCAGGTGGCTTGATTTGTGCCCATGCTCCTTCTTTCTAAAGCAAACATTGCTCTTCTTAGGGGGGCTTGGCAGGGTTAGGACATGGGAGGGCATTCCTCAGCCAAAGCCGAGGCTGGGGGGGGTGATTGGATGTCAGAGATGAAGTGCGAGCCCGAGGGCAGCGGCGCAGCGTGGCTCTGCTCTGCTCTGCTCGGAGAGGCCGCTCTGTGATTCATGGTTTCATTTGGAGCCACTGTTGAGGCGGGGTCTGGCCTGGCAGGGGGAAGCTTTCCCACAGCCTTTCCATTGCGTTTCCTGCCCCGCTGCCAGGCTGCTTACCCGTAGGACTTTGTTCCCTCATGCAACGGATGGAGGATGGAGAGCTCGGGGGCTATTCTCACCCAAGGGGATGCGGCATCTCCCCTGTGACCTGCTGCTGGGTCCCCTGCACACGGAGTCTGCTACGTTTGCATCCAAGCCCGTGGTATTTCTCACTCCCCATGCGTGCAGCTCCTGCCTGCTTGCTCCTTGTGCTCGCTGGCTGGGGTCAGAGCACGGAGCTTTGGGGGTTTCTGCCCTTCCTTCTCACAGCCTGAAGCAAAAGGGCTCTTGTGGTCGCTTGCTTTTAAGGCTCGCTGGTTCTCTGACCCTTAAGGACCTCGCGTGGTGTGAAGGTATCTGCACATTCCTGAGCAGCAGATGTGTGTGGTTCCTCCTATCCTCACCACCTCTCAGCATTGTGTTTTATTTGCACTACTGAGAAACCCTGTGTAGGGTCCCAAAGCAGCACCTTCAAAGGGTAAAATGTCTTAATTTTAGTTTTTCTTAGCTGTAGACAATGTATTTTTTTAGCAATCACAGGAGTGCTCTTTGCAGAATTATTTCCTTTTTTCATACAAAAAGCAGGTCGTGAATTAAAATAATATCCTTGTGATATTTGAAAGGAACTTTACTCACAACCTCCTTACCCCCTGTTTCACCTCTGCTTTTTAACCTGTTCCGTTGTATTCTCCTTGTCAGGTGGAAGATGGGACCATTCCCTTTGTGTTTTAGGTGACTCTGATACCTGTTACCATGAAGTCCCGAAGGAGATAGAGGGACAGTAGTGGGAATTTCTTCTAACTGCTCCAAAAAGCCCCAACCTAATGGTAAGGAAGCTGTTCTTTTGAATTAGCCTCCTGTTGTACCCATTAATCAAGGAACGTGTTGAAGAGTTTGAGATCTGAACCCACTGGGCCATGTTTAGTTGGGGTTGAGGAGGAAACAGGCTGCAAATGCTGCGTGGTGGGAGGAGCTGGGGAGAAAATACAATTGTCCTCTGTTTTGTGTCCTCTCCCCAGGGATTACCTCTTACACTGACGTGATGGGGAGCTGCTGCAGTTGTCTGTGCAGAGACAGCATCCCAGACAACCATCCCACCAAATTCAAGGTAAGTGTTGCACCTTTATCCCCATCAGAGAGCCTGTGACAGCACCAACGACTAGAAAAGGCCAGTGTTGGTGGGACTCCAGGCATGAAAAGAAAGAAAACCTCTGCTCTTGCTGAGAAGTCTTTTGCTTTATAAGATTTGCAAATACGTCACTGCTTTGTTTGGCTTTTCCCCCCTTTCCTTAAGCAACCTCTGCTGCAAATACATTTGTGTTTGCAGTAGAAATTGCCTCTGCACAGAGAGTCAGCCTGAGTGAGGAAATGGGGAACTGGAGAGAAACCTTTTATTGCTCAGGGCTGTGTTCCAGTGTCTGTGCTGAGACACATCAGCTGAACTGCCAGGCACACCGTCTGCAGGGCTGCTGGCTTGACACCTTCTGCCAGCACTAGATTCATGCTCTGAGCTGAGAAAGGGGCATCTCAGCAAGCACAGGGGAACCCACAGCAATTACAGTGTCTTCATAGGTGGGCTTTTCTGCGACACCAATGCACTGAGTGTCCCCTGTGGTCTCTGCAGGTAACAAACGTGGATGATGAAGGTAACGAGCTGGGATCTGGGATCATGGAGCTGACACAGATGGAGCTCATCTTGCACACTCACAAGCGAGATGCTGTCAGGTGGCCCTACCTCTGCCTGCGCCGCTATGGCTACGACTCCAACCTCTTCTCCTTCGAGAGCGGCCGGCGCTGCCAGACGGGGCAGGGTGAGTGTCCAGGTTCTGTTCATCTGATGCATCAATGGGTTCTTCTGCAGCCTCTGTTCCCCCCCAGTACTGGAGTGTGCAGATCGTACACTTAACGCCCCTCATTAAATCACTGATGAGAGCGACACTGTGGCTCAGGACCTGGGCATAAATCTAATGCTCTCATTTTGCTAGTGCATTGGTGCTCGTGAGGTAATTGGTGGAGCAGGCTTGAGGACTGGATGGGGTGGATTTTGTGTCAGAGAGCTGCTTGGCTCTGCCGTGGTGCTAAAGGATGCACAGGAGGGCGTGCTGCGCTTCATTAGCAGCTAGAAAGTGCTGTTTGCAAGGCTGAAGCTTTGTTGAGCATCTTTTAACTTGAGATGAAGTGAAAAGGCATCGCTGCACCTTTTTGCAGGACCCTTTTGGAGCTCTGTTTCACAGAGCTGCCAAATGCATGTCAGTAGCAACAGTTGATAGAGCACGTTTTGGTTTTCTGGGTGTGTTCTATCTGCCTTAGTTAGTGCTGGTTGTACCTAATGCTTTGCATTTTATGTCTGGCAGTACTTTGTAACGTAGAGGGAGAGGAGTTTTACGTTTTACAGGCCTTATGCATGGGGCTGGTGTGCCTAGAGAAGGGAAGTGAGTCACCCAGGAGTACATGCCAAGTCATCAGCAGCACTGGGAATAGACTCGTTTACAATGGGGCCTGTTAGTTCTTTTCCCAGTCTGTCTCTCTTGCTTTTAAAGAGCTGAACATTTTCTTGGCATCTGCATCCCCAAGGAGCAACAAAAAGTTTGTTTCCTCATTCTTTTAGTGTGTTTGTAAACTCCTCCTTACCCAAAAGGACTCCGTGTGACTGTTGAGTGTCAGGGTAAAGCTCTGTGCAGATCTGTAGTGCCATATGCTCCTTTTTAATATTCATGGACGTGGGGTTTTCCTCTCCTGGAGTCCTCTGCTTATCAGCTGCCAGAGGTGGGAATCCCTTCTCCTCAGGTTCTGGTTTGCCTTTTGCAGGGTGCAGAGCAGTGCCTAACAGCCTGCCCTGTTCAGGGCCAGGTACTGGTGATGAAGCAGAGCCATTTGCTTTTCACATGTTACAGGATTTTTAGCAGATACATACTTATGCATCAGCCTCAAAGCAGAGAGAAATGAGAGGGGTGGCAGTGTGTTCTGAGGAGGTTTCCGCCTCCCTTGTAGGATATTATTCTGCTCAGTTGATTGCATTGGGAGGACTCCTTCCTGATGCTGTCCCCACCTTGTACAAAGCAGAGAGAGCTGTGTTTTGGGCCAGGATTTTGAAAGCCTTCCTCTCTGTGGCTGCAGCATTGTTGCCATGCTGTTCCTGTTGCCATGGCTTGTGTGCCTGCCAGCCTGGATTGGCAGCTCTGTGCACACAGGCTCCGCTGGGGCTGCTCCTTTGGGGAGTTGCTGTTTAATTCCATATGGATTTTAACCATTCCGTTGTCCCTCCCTCATGTGCAGGCTCCACAGGGCCCAGTTCAGCTTTGGGTAGCCACTGGGTAGCTGTTTCCCTGGCAGTGCGAGTTGGACTGTGTGCCAAGTGAGTTAGAACAGATTAGAGCTGAAACAAGAGTGGTTAGCCTGTCCTTTCACACCTCTGCTTGTGTGGGATTGATTCTTGTAAGAGAACTTGAGATGCTCAGTATGTTCCTTGTAATGATGCACCGTTTGGTCAGATGGCAGCCATAACATTGTGTTCCTGTTGATGCAATAATCCACAGTGGTTGGTTGTTTCCCTGTGGGTTGCAGGGCTTGATTGTGTTAAACACAGCAAAAGAAATCAGAGTTGCCTGTTCGTTTAGAGCCAGGAATTACGCACACTCCTGGTAAAGCAGGACCATGCCTTGCTTTGCTGACCCTCCTCTTTGTTACTGTGCAGGGATTTTTGCCTTTAAGTGTTCCAGAGCCGAGGAGATCTTTAACCTGCTCCAGGACCTGATGCAGTGTAACAGCATCAACGTTGTGGAAGAGCCTGTTGTCATCACCAGGAACAGTCACCCCACGGAGCAGGAGCTCTCCAGGACCCCCCAGGCATCCAACAGTAAGGTTCCTTCAGTGTCTGGGAGAAGAGAGGGGAACATAGGGATGTGCTGCTTCACAGCTGACCCATCTGATTTAAATAGATTTAAAACAAGCCCCTCATTGACATGCTTTAGTGGTGGACTTGGCAGCCCTGGGGTAATGCTTGGATTTGATGATCTTAAAGGTCTTTTCCAACCTGGTTGATTCAGTGATTCTAAGAGGGCCCAGCCCTTGTATTTATATGAGGTGCTTTGTCACAGGGGTCTTCCCCAGAGAGGCTGGTTCTGACTTACAGGCTGCAGTTAAGATACCAGCTCACTGCAGAAAGGAAGTAAACTCTATTTGTGCCAAACCAGTGCTGTAATCCCCTTACCTGCCTTGATTCTCTCCCAGGTCTGGGGTACACTGTCCCAGGATTTCCTAATGGATTTCACAGCTACTCTGGAGAAACCCTCCCATACTCCACAGCCCACCACCCCTCTGTGAGCAGCCTGAAGCATTCCTCTGTGGGTGAAGACTCTACTCATGCCCTTATTGGGCCTGATGAGCAGGTAAACCTGGATGTCCTAAATTCTCCTGTTAGCAAGCAGTGACCAAGCAGCTTGTTTGCTCATGGTTCTGGGCAGTTCTGGGTTTCCTCAGCAACCCGGAGGATCCTCATACCTTGTCATCTTTTTTTTCCCCCTCTTTTGCTTCATTTTGCTCTTGGAAACTTCTGCTGTCTGACACTTTGCTACAACAGGCACTCTGCCTGAGGTGCCTTCCTTAATCCACTAGTATTTGCACAGCAGAACTTTAAGTTCCGTGCCATATGCATCAAGCATGAACTAGATGATGTGTTTCTCCTGCAGTTGGACTCCCTTTGGTCTCTCCTTCAGCCCACAAATCCAGAAATGGATTTTTTCTCCCCCAAATCTTTCCAACTTCTGAATCTCTTTCACCTCCTCCTGCATCAGCCACCAACCTATTCTCCATCCCGGTTGGTTTCTCAGCTGCTTTGCTCTTGTCTCTTCTCTTCTCCCTTCACTGTCCCTCTGCTTCTCTCCTTGCAGTCCCACACCTACGTCAACACGGCCAATGGTGATCAGGAGTTGAGGGGCCGACACTGTATGCACTCCTTGCCTGAAGTCCACCCTCCTTTCCCCCATAGGAACCGCAGCTGCTCCCTCGAAGACCGCAATCCCCAGGTCTTCCTGCAGCCAGGGGAGGTTAAGTTCGTGTTAGGTCCCGCCTCCACCTGCAGACGCTCCTGTCGGCACCACGGGGAGTGCAGGACACACTTCTGCCCCGCCAACAACAACAACAACGAGTGTGAGGAGGAGTGTCCTTCACCCCAGTGCGTCTATGAGAACGTCAATGGCCTGCTCCCCCCCAGCACCTCCTCTCTCTGCCGAGGCGGGCGCTTGAAGCTGCCCCGGGAGGACTCGGGCTTAGCCGGCTGCTCCCATCGCAGGACGGCGTTGCTGCACTATGAGAACTTGCCATCCCTGCCCCCGGTGTGGGAATGCCAACCCCTCCCGCGGGGAGAGGAGGATGCGGGCGATGCGTTGACCCCTTCCCCCAGCGGCTACTCCGAGGCTGGTGAAGAAGATCCCCTCCAGAACTACATGAACTCAGAGAGCACGGCCCTGCACCGGGGCCAGCGGCGCAGCAGCTTCCTCCCCAAGCCCCGGCGCAGCTGCGTGCCCAACGTCTTCAGCTTCGACTTCCCCCGGCCCTGCCCGGAGCAGCCACGGCAGCTCAACTACATCCAAGTGGAGCTGGAGGCTGAGCCGCACAAGGGCCATCAGAACCCCCCTGCCTCCCGTGTGCCAGCTCCTGCCAGCCCCGACGCCCGCCGGACGGACTCCTACGCGGTCATCGACCTCAAAAAGACAGCAGCCATGTCCAGTTTGCAACGGGCCCTGCCCAGAGATGATGGGACCTCACGGAAAACTCGGCACAACAGCACTGACCTGCCCTTGTGAGGGTGAGGGGGGCCGCCGAGTGCAAGCACCGTGTCGTGGCTTCGGTACCTGCCTTCAGTGTGACTTCTGTTCGCCATTGCCTTCTGCTTCCCTGTTTACCCCATTGGTGTCACGGGATGGCTCCTACAGCTGATGTTAAGCCTAGTCTGTCTGTCTGTCCTCCCCTCTGTCTGTCCCATGTCGTTGTTTCTTGAAGCCTTGTGGGGTATTCAGCATCGCTGTTCGAAGGTTCAGCCTCCAGCAGGAGGTGCCAGCAGTGCTGCATGGGTCCAGCCTTGGATTGGCTTAGCTCCATGAGCAGTGCCAACAGCCTGGCTCCAGAGGCAGAGCATAGCATGGTGGAGGCATGTTTCCAAAGTGAGTTGCTTTAGGAACTCCACTGCAAATCCAGCCTGTTCTCCATGGATCCCATGCCTTGCGGCTCGAGGCGACTGCTGCAGCTGGGCCTTGTGGCTTCACCGCTCCCTGGGGATGTGGGGGCTCATGCTGTGGTCTTTCCCCCCTCAACTCCTTCCTCCCCTCTGCACTCTTCCGTGTTTTCTTGTAGAAGCTTTTGATACTTCTGTCCCCCTCTCAGATTCCATTGGAATTGGGCAGCTCTAGAAACGAAGAGGACAGGCAGCCATGGGCACAGACACTGTGATCACCTAAACCTGAGACCCTGCTTTAAAAGGAGGGGAAGACCACAACTGTGAGAGAGGTTTGAGGTTTGGTACCGAAACCTTCGGTTGTGCCATACCCTGCTCTTTAAAGGTTCTTTTTTGGTGGCTGTTCCAAAATGGTGTTGATTTATTTATTTGCTTATTTATTTACTCAATGATGTTTTGCATCCCAATGGTGATTGCCCAAACCAGTGCCAACAGGACACGAGCCCTCACTGTGGCTCACTCCTGCCTGGGGGGACAGCTCTCAGAAGAGGTTGGTGGCTTTGCTGAGCTGCTGCTGGGGAAAAGAGCAGTTGTGCCTCCATAGACATGTTTAAACTGGGACCGACTATCGCAGGCTGGGTGGGAGATGGGAGATGTGGGAGTGTGAGCAGAGCTGCCAGGCAGCTGAGCCTGGAGCTGTATCAGAGTCTTTGCCTTCACCCACGTGCCTGGCTGGCTCCGTGAGGAGTGTTTGAGTGGTGTTTTGAGGGAATGTGCCATTGGTTTCCTGCAGCTGGGAGCTTGGAAGGGCTCAGCTTCAGCTCCTGGGTGAATCTGTGGCCTTTGATGTGGATTTTTCTCTTGATACCAGGGCTGAGTCTAAGCTGAGTAGGGTCTCTGTGTAGGGTCTCTGCTCCTGGCCTGTTGCAGGCTGTCCCACCAGCCCTCTCCATGCGGTGACAAGCTGCAGGTTAGTCCCTCCCTGCCTCACTCTTTGCCATTAGAAGCTATTCCAATATGACACAAATGCTCTGGATTCCCACCCTGCTGCTGCCTGTGTTCATCTTCCTCCCTGGGATAGGAGTGGGGAGATCCAGTGCTCTCCGATGTGTCCCACTGCCAAATCTTGCTGTGTTCTCCTTGTCCCTAATGTGTCCAGTGTCAAAGCCTCTGTGCTGAAAGAGGAGAGAACCCCCTTGTCCTATTGCAACCTGCTGCTGAGGTCCAGAAACTTGATGTCCAGAATTAAGTTCAGCCTTTTTGGGTTTGGTGCTGTAATGTCACGCTGAAATGTGGCCCTTTTGGGAGCAAGGACATGTGCCTGCAGCTCGGAAGGTGTGAGCAGTGCCATGCTCGTGTGGGCAGGACGTGCATCTCTTGGCTTGCTGCTGCGCTATAAATTCAAGGTTCACCTCATGCTTAAATTCACTGGGTTTTGGGGAAATGCTTGTGCTTGTCTTCCATTCTGTTCCCCACCCCATCCTTTGTGTGGTCTGTAACTGGGAGGAAACCCAAGTAATATATTTTTATACGGATGCCAAATGAATTTATTTGACAGGGAAAGGCAATGTATCCCCCTAAATCTAGCTTTCAGTTAGGGAAGTGAGAAGAGAAATTGTTTATATATATATATATGCATAAATATATATATGAAAGTTAACTGCATTAAGCTTTAAATAAATGATTTAACTAAAGAGTTTCTAGGCTGTGTCACCCTGTGGGGCAGCTCCGGCCTGGCTGCATGCCTGTGATGAGTGGGAGAAGGCTGCTGTGAGGGTCTGTAGGCATTGCTTGCTCCAGGGATCGGTTCTGTGTGCACTGGGAGCTCCAGGGATCAGGTCTGTGGGCACTGGGAGCTGCAGGGATCAGGTCTGTGGGCACTGGGAGCTGCAGGGATCAGGTCTGGGGGCACTGGGAGCTCCAGGGATCAGGTCTGTGGGCACTGGGAGCTGCAGGGATCAGGTCTGGGGGCACTGGGAGCTCCAGGGATCAGGTCTGTGGGCATTGGGAGCTCCAGGGATCAGGTCTGGGGGCACTGGGAGCTCCAGGGATCAGGTCTGTGTGTATTGGGAGCTCCAGGGATCAGGTCTGGGGGCACTGGGAGCTGCAGGGATCAGGTCTGGGGGCACTGGGAGCTGCAGGGATCAGGTCTGTGTGCATTGGGAGCTACAGGGATCAGGTCTGTGGGCACTGGGAGCTGCAGGGATCAGGTCTGTGGGCATTGGGAGCTGCAGGGATCAGGTCTGTGGGCACTGGGAGCTACAGGGATCAGGTCTGGGGGCACTGGGAGTTGCAGGTATCAGGTCTGGGGGTACTGGGAGCTCCAGGGATCAGGTCTGTGGGCACTGGGAGTTGCAGGTATCAGGTCTGGGGGTACTGGGAGCTCCAGGGTGGCACAGCCCGGCGGTGCTGGCCGGTGTCACAGCTTCCTCTAGTGGCCACGATGGAAACGGTTTCAGAGGAGGAATCAGCGTTGGGTTGAAAGGCGAGGAGGGCATCAGGGTTTTCTCATCCCTTCAGTTCTTTGATTTCATAGGGACAGGCCAAGGGGAATGGCTTGAACCTGCCCGAGGGGAGACTGAGCTGAGCTCTTAGGCAGAAGCTCTTCCCTGTGAGGGTGCTGAGGCGCTGGCACAGGGTGCCCAGAGAAGCTGTGGCTGCCCCATCCCTGGCAGTGCTCAAGGCCAGGTTGGACACAGGGGCTTGGAGCAAGCTGCTCCAGTGGAAGGGGTCCGGGTTGGAACTGGATGAGCTTTAAGCTCCCTTCAACCCAAACCACTCTGATTCAATGGTAACTCTGGAGTCTTCCCTTGTTACCGTTTCTTTTTGGTTGAAAATGATGTTTATGCCATTTGTAGGACCTTTATGGCACCTTGTCCAGAGAGGTCTTTGCTTTGAGCCTGGTCTCCATCCTCTGCCTGTGAGATTGACGTTCCAGGGATGACCTGGTGAGCAGCCCATGCTGTGCGGAGGGTGTTTGACTGTCTTAACCTTTGTAAGTGGTCCTTGTTTGAGTTTTGAGTCAATCAATGAGACTTCCCCTGATCATTCTTCCCTGGTGAATGCAGAAACAGGTCTTTCACCCTTCCTTTCCCAAGATCCTGTTGGTAGGAATGCAGCTTCTCCTGGCGCTCAGCTCTCTGTTACCATGACAGGGGTTTGGATTTGCCTTTTTCTTTTCACCCGTTTCATGTTCCTGCTTTTCCCCTAGGGAAGGATGTTGGAATATCCTTGAGCTCTACCTGCCTCACAGGAGAGGATGGTGATGGAGAGGCTGGATTATGGGGGTTAAATGATTGCTGTTTCTGCAGAGAGGCTCACATGTGTTAGCTAGGACTGAAGCGGTGTCATTTTTATTACCTAAGCCATGCTGTTCCCTGGACAAGAACCAGCCCAGGGCTCGGCTCTTTCCTCCCCAAGTCTTTCCTCTGTCCCTGTGTGTGATGCTGCTCAGCCCTCTGGGGCGGTATCTGGATGATGGTTAATGCACGTGCTGCCTGAATTCAGTTCTCAGTCCTTGTGGGGAGTTTGTCTTTCCCCCAAACTTGGCTCGTCTTGAAATGCCACCCAGAGGTGGCAGAACAGGTTTAGATCCCTGTTACCCAACAGGACCAAAGGTGAATACATGGAAACCCTGAGAGCTTTGAAGCTGGCAATTACAGGGCAGGGTATGGCAAAGGCTAATTGTGAAGAAGGGGTCTAATTTGTGTCTCCTTCCTCCGTAAGTGAATGTGATTTTACAGTCGAAAGGCCCAGATGCATCTGTGCTGTGTCCACCTCTCCTCCCCTGTGGTTCCCCTCGTCGTTGTTCTGGTGTCTTTGGTACTGAACATCCCTGACAGGGCAGAAAACCAAAGGTTTGTTGGGGTTCAGTTGCTCTGACCAGAGGCATTGCTCTCGCTGTGTAATTGCTTCTTCAGGTTGTCTCTATGGATGTCCCTCCTTGTATCTCATCCGGGTGTAGCCGTAGAGGTGAAGAACAGCAGCAGTGCTCTGTGACCTGGGGAGTGCTCATGTCTTACATTGATGTGCACTACGAATGTATACAGAATAAATGGAACATGATGACTAGCCAGTGGTCCTGTCTTTTGTCTGGGGTGCTTTCCAGTCTCCCTTCCCTAAAGGAATAATGCTTATGTCCTTATGTGGCCTACCTGGAGCAATGGTTGCCTCATAGGCTTAAACAATAAGCCTATTTATAAGACACCTTTCCCTCTTTGTGCGCTGGTGACCCATGTGGGTATCTCTGCAGGATGGTTCCATGGGCTGTTGGTCTGAGCTGGAAGCTGGACTTCCAGATGTGTTTGCATGGGGTTCTCACCCTCTTTGGGACGTTAAAGCTGCAGCCCAGGGGTTTATTTCAGGAGCTGTTGCTGTGCTTGGACAGGAAAAGAGGAATATTGCTTTTAACACGGATGGGAGCTGCTGCTCTGTGTCCTGGGAGCTCTGTTTTGGAAATAAACCACTAAAACCTGCTTGGGCAGCGCTGGGTAAGGGATCCGTGTGCTGTGTGTGGGGCATAAACACAGCTGGTCGTGTGCTGTGCTCCCACCACCGGCTCCTCCTGCTTGGAGAGCCCAGCCAGAGAGCACCGATGCTCCAGGCAAAGGGGATGGAGCTGGGTTAAATGAACCACACGGAGCGAGGCTGTTCAGTGGTTGAAAGGAGAGCGTTCACTGGGATGGGATTTGGCCTCTTTAGGAAGGGTTTGAGCCCACATGGTCCTTGTCCTGCAACTGGGAACAGCCGCTTCCCTGGGGTTGTGCCATGGGTAAAGCAGAGCCTGGAGCAGATGAGGAAATCCAGGGTGATGGCAGCATCTCTGGAAAGGTTTCTGTTCCCTGTTGGGGGGCAGGAGAGCTCTTTGGGTCCCAGGGAAGGCTGGATCCCACGTTAGATCCTGTTTCTAATCCTGCAAAACACTGTCACAAGCTTTGGGGAGATGGTGCCACTGATGCTGGTTTAATGGGGTTTGTTGGCTCACGTTGGGAGTGCTCAAGGCCTCCGGCTGCTCACAGCTCATCTCATGATGCTCACAGCTTTCCATGCTGTAGTATCTCGGGAGTGGTTGTCGGAGCTGCCCATGGAATACAGAAGGGATCTAGGCTCATCTGGGAGAGACGGGATTCTTAGACCTGGAGCTGTTTGAATGTGGGCTGAGCCATTGCATCAAAACAGAGGAGAAACACAAAGCAACAGAGGAGAAATGCTCAGAGCTTGGTCCCAAGGGGCAGCAGGGATATGTGCTGCTGACTGAGTCCTGCTCCTTGTAGAGATGGGATCTCTGATTTAGGGACTGAGCATCCTCGGTTCCTGTTAGGCTGAATGCCTCAGGAGACAAGTGCTGTGCCTAACTTTGGGTCAAGAAGTGCCAAAAGTCGAATGCATCTCTGTGTGCTGTAGAGGGCACCTTCCTCCTTTGTCTTTTGGCAGGGCTGAGTCCCCTTGGGACCCACAGATAACAGTCGGTCTATTGACGTTTTGATAACTGCTCTTTGCTTTCAGCCAGAATTTGCTTTTTATCCAATCTTAATAAGTTGATCTTTCTATCAATCCTGCTAGCAAACAAGATAATTGCTTTATTATAGTCTCAATATCCAGCAAAGGACACACACTCCCCGCTGCTCCCGAGGGACCGCAATCTGTGCAGAGCACTGGCACGGGATGAGGATGAGTGTGATTCCTGCACTGTGGAGAGCCAGGCTGCTCGCAGCGGGGATGCGAGCCAGGAGGCCTAGAAAACATTGAGGTTATAACCCAAAGCGTTTTGGTCTTTTTGCTAGAAAATATTTAGGTTCTGACCAAAGGCATTTGGAGTCATTTGCTAGGAAATATTTGGGTTATAAGCGGAAGGGTTTTGGTGTGTTTGGGTGTTTGTTGGCGGTTCGGGAGCTCTGTGTTTGTGCTTCTTTTCTTTACACATTCAAAAGAAAAGCAAACAAGGGATTTCCTGGCTCACTGGGCTGGGGTGAGGACCCGGAAGGTGGCTGAAACCCCGTGGGGGGTTAAACCTGCCCCATGCAGGGAGGCACCGCGCTCCCCTTAATGCAGGATGGGAAAGGGAGCAGCTCCTCCACAAAATAAGTGGGAAAATGGGGGGTTTCTGAGCCAACCAGCACACAAGCAGCGGCAGGATTGGGGTGTGCGACACACAGACATGAGCTGGTCCTGCAGGAGAGGATGGGGAAAACACCCCTAAGAGAACCAGAGGAGGAAGCAGCTCTTTGCTCATGGCAATGCCTCAGCTCCAGCAGCGTTCCCTGCTCCAGGCCTGGTCCTGAAAGAGGGGAAAAAAGGCTCCTTGATTTCGGGAAAAGCCCTGGGCAGGTTTTGCTGGGCAGTGATAACGGCCCAGCACGGTGACGCGTGGCTCCCTCCTCTGCGCTGCGATAAGAGCCGGGCACCAATGGGATGGGGACGCTTCCATGTCGCTATCGAAGGCGGGCGCCACTCGATCCTCACCTCGCGCCCCGCGACGGGAACGCCTCAAAAGCCCTCATGGCCCCAAACACAAAGGAACCCTTGAAGCCAAGGGTGTGCGTGGCAATGGAAAACAGAGGTCAGCAGATAAGGGGGATCGCTGCTTCCCGGTTATAAAGCCAGGGAGCGCGGGCGGCTCAGCCCAGCTGCGGTCATCGGGAGGGTGAGTGTGGACCAGTGGGTACCTCCTGCACCATGAAGTGGCTCCTCCTGGCCCTGCTGTGTCTCCAGCTCTCAGAGGGGGTGGTGAGGTGAGTGTCCTGCAGCGGGAAGAGCAGGGAATGGGGTGGTGACAGAGCTGGAACCTGCATGGGCTGATGCTGTGACCCTGAACACCTTTAACCGGGTGTGATTCCAGCCTCCTGCATCTCCACCGCCCATCGTGGTCCTGGTCCAGGCTGGCTCCCTCGCTTGGGAGGGGGTGTGAAGAGCAGCCAAGGGGAGGGTGCATCCCATGGCAGGGCACAGGGATAACCTGCCAGTGCCCAGATCCCCTGGTTTCCTGCTGAGTTTTGTTGGTTTGGGTTGATTTTCCCTCTGTGCAGAATCAAACTGAAGAAAGGCAAATCCATCCGGGAGAACATGAAGGAGGCTGGAGTGTTGGAGGACTACCTGAGGAGAATGAAACATTACACAGCTAAGAAACACCGCTTTAGAGAGGACTTTGTGGTGTATGAGCCCATAACCAGCCATCTGGATGTGAGTACCCCATTTCCCATTGCAGCCTGTCTGTATACCATGAGCATCCCTCTCCCTCCTCCTTCCCAGCTGCCAGGGATCCGTTCACCCCAAGCCTCCAGGAGTGAGAGATGGTTTTTTCCCACTCTTCTTTAAGCTTTGACTTCAGAAGAGTTTTCCCCCACCATGAAAAATGAGGCTTTTCTGTGTGAAACAGAAAACACACCAAAATACAGTTAATCTTACATCCTCCTGCAAAAAAAGCAGGGTGAGAGTCAGCCCCATCCCTACTTCATTGCTGCAAGAGGGAGCTTGGCGTTCCCCCTGCACCACCCTGCAATGCGCTCGGATGCCCGGTCTGTCCCTGATCCTGTGCCCAATGGAGATTCCCATTCTCTTGTCCGCAGTCCTCCTACTTTGGGGAGATCAGCATCGGGGACCCCCCCCAGAACTTCACGGTGCTCTTCGACACCGGCTCCTCCAACCTGTGGGTGCCCTCCACCTACTGCAAGACCCCGGCGTGCTGTGAGTACCATATTGCACACAGCTCCCAGCAGCTGGGCTGGGGCAGCCTGGAGGAGAGAAGGCTCCTGAAGGGGAGAGCTTAAAGCAGCTCCAGTGCCTAAAGGGGCTGCAGGGAACCTGGAGAGGGGCTTGGGACAAGGGCCTGTAGGGACAGGACAAGGGGAATGGCTTGAACCTGCCCGAGGGGAGACTGAGCTGAGCTCTTAGGCAGAAGCTCTTCCCTGTGAGGGTGCTGAGGCGCTGGCACAGGGTGCCCAGAGAAGCTGTGGCTGCCCCATCCCTGGCAGTGCTCAAGGCCAGGTTGGACACAGGGGCTTGGAGCAAGCTGCTCCAGTGGAAGGGGTCCCTGCCCGTGGCAGGGGTTGGAGCTGGATGGGCTTTAAGCTCCCTTCCACCCAAACCGTGCTGTGATTCCACGTGCCTTGCTAATGGAGATGGCCAGATCCCTGTGACCACTGTGGGTGCAGAAACCTTGCTGGCAGTGCCTGAGCTGGCGTGGAAAAAGCAAAGCTGTGAATCATGGAGCTGATGTCCTGCTGCCTGGCACTCACCCCATGTCACTCGCTGCTGGTGGCTTTGCTGACGCTGGGGCTGATATGGTTGGGATTGCAACAGCTGCTCCCTGCAGGGGGATGCAGGCAGAACCTGGGTGCAAACCCTGCCTTAGAGGTAACTGGGAGGCAGAGGCACAGCCTGTTCTGCTCTGCCAGACCTGCTCCCTGCAGCAGAAGCTGCTTCCCCAGGCAGAGTGACCGCAGGTGAGTCCCCATCACAGCCCAATGATCACACACCCAGGAGCTTGCCCTCTTCTCTCTCATGCAGTCAACCACATGAAGTTCAGGCCCAGAAAGTCCTCCACCTTCATCACCAACGGGAAGTCCTACACCCTCTCCTATGGCAGCGGCACACTCACGGTGCTCTTGGGCTATGACACACTAAGGGTGAGTGCACGCACCATGCCCTCGTCTTCCTGGCCACTGTGGGCCAGTTATTGCCACTATCAGTTACCCAGCTGGTTTTTAGGTTGGTTTCAATCCAATTGCTGCTCATTTCCCAGCTGCCTGGTGATGTTTCTACTTGTACTTCAGAGCATCCATCATTGGATGCCTGGTGATGGTTCTACTTGCACTTCAGAGCATCTATCATTGGATGCCTGGTGATGTTTCTACTTGTACTTCAGAGCATCCATCGTTGGATGCCTGGTGATGTTTCTACTTGTACTTCAGAGCATCCATCGTTGGATGCCTGGTGATGGTTCTACTTGTACTTCAGAGCATCCATCATTGGATGCCTGGTGATGTTTCTACTTGTACTTCAGAGCATCCATCATTGGATGCCTGGTGATGTTTCCACTTGTGCTTCAGAGCATCCCATCCCATCCCATCCCATCCCATCCCACCCATGGGTGGGAACCCAATCACTCTTTGGGTTCCCTAAGCACACAGGCTGACCGAGCATCTCCTTCCCCTGCAGATCCAGAGCATCACAGTCACAAACCAGGAGTTTGGGCTCAGTGAGAACGAGCCAACGCAGCCTTTCTACTACGCGGATTTTGATGGGATCCTGGGAATGGGGTACCCCTCGCTGGCAGTGGGAGGGACACCCACCGTGCTGCAGGGGATGCTGGAGCAGAACCAGCTCGCCGAGCCCATCTTCAGCTTCTACTTCTCCCGGTAAGGAACCCCACACATCCTAATGCACCAGCATCCCTCTGCCTGTCCCCATGCAGCTCCCTGTTGGTGTCCCTCGCTACCCCATGCACATCACACTGATTTACCCATCTCTGCTGCTGTATCTCTGTGGTTTTGCAGCGATCCCACCTACTACTATGGAGGAGAGCTCATTCTTGGAGGAGTTGACCCTCAGCTCTACTATGGGGACATTGCATGGGCACCAGTGACCCAGGAGCTCTACTGGCAGGTTGCCATTGATGAGTGAGTTGTATTTGTACCTGATGGCTATGATCCACCCACGCAGCTCCTGCAGTGAAGGTGGTACAGTTGTCCTCCACAACAGCTTACTGCAGCAGGCATGGGCTCAAGGCAGGGCTTTGCCGCTGCACTTCAGAGCATCCCAATGACCAGACCCAGTCAAACCAGGTTTAGCTGCCGGTGGGTGCTTGCAATGGTCTCCATCTCCTTGTCCTCCATCTCCTTGTCCTCCTCCCAGGTTTGCCATCGGGCAGTCAATGACCGGTTGGTGCAGCCAGGGCTGCCAGGGCATCGTGGACACGGGGACGTTCCTGCTGACGGTGCCTGAGCAATACATAGAGAGATTCCTCCAGGCCCTGGGAGCCCAGCTCACCAGCTATGGGGTGAGCACGCAAGGGATGCTTTGGGGGTGCCTGTGGAGCAGGGGGAAGGCTTGTGAGTGAGCTGTGGGCCCCTAAAACTCAGGTGGCATCTACAGAGCATGGAACTGGGGGCCTGTTAGGGAAGGATGAGGTGACATGGCACTGCTAAGGGATAAAGTGTTACCCCCATGGATGGGGGTATCTCTCATGGTGGGTGCTGTCCCAGCCATAACCTTCTCTTCACCCTCTCCCTGCAGTATGCAGTTGACTGCAATGAGATCCAGAACATGCCCCCCATCACCTTCGTCATCAATGGAGCTCAGCTCCCACTCCACCCCTCTGCCTACGTCTTGAACGTACGTATTCACACAGCAGCTCCATCCTTCCCTATGGATGTGCCAGGAGAGGAGCCGGTGCTTCCCTGCATCCCACGCAGCAGGCTCTGACTCCCCGTTGCTCCTCTCCTACAGAACAACGGTTACTGCACTCTGGGCATCGAGGTCACCTACCTCCCTTCCCAGAACGGGCAGCCGCTCTGGATCCTGGGCGATGTGTTCCTCAAGCAGTATTACACCGTCTTCGACATGGCAAACAACCGCATCGGCTTCGCCCCATCGCTGTAGAGGAGCAGAGCCGCAGAACCCAGCCCCTCTCCTGGCCAAACGCACCTCAGCAGCGTGCCCGGAGCGCTGCGGGCTTCCTCTGGACCTCGATGCTCCTCTCTGTGCCCTGTCCCTCCGGGATGTCTGTGTGCCCGCGGTCTCCTGTTACAAATAAACCTCAACATCCCCCATCATCTCCCTCTTCTGTCCTCCTTGAGGCCTGATTCCTGCCAGGGCTTCGCTTTGCAGGTGAGCAGCACCAGGCGCCAGGCTGCAGCGCACCACAGCATCACCGGGCTTGGTCTCAGACCCCAACCGTAACCCCCGGGGATGGGATTCCCCACAAAGCCAGTTCTGCTCTGTGCCTTTGGGTGTGTGAATGGAAGGGCCATGGGGGTCCTTAACCTTCATCCTCCTCCAGCCGCTGCTCGCTGCACCGAGGCTGATGCTGCCCAGCTCCTACCCAGGCAAACACCGGGGAAGCCGGTGGTGGTGGACATCGCTTTGCCTGCTCTTTGCGGTGACCTTGGTGATGCCGTCGTGTCCGGTGGGTCCCCACCTCCATCCCTCATTGGGCACTGGGGAAACCTCATCAGAGGTGCATGTGGGCAGGCACCGCTCTTCCTTGTAGCTGGATAAGGCCCTGTGATGAAGGCAAAGTGGGAATATGAGGGCGGCTTTGGTTAGCCATGGCATCCAAATGACCCCGAAACCCGCACCTTGGCCAGAGAGAGCTCCGGTAACACCACTCATTCCCAGGATCCAAGCTTGTTTCTGGGAAGCTCTTTACCCCCGGAGCTCGTTATCAGATGTATTGATAGTGCTGTCATCTCGCCAATGAAAGGACACAAACTCCTCCGTGCTGCGTGTCAAACTACTGACACAGGCTGAGTGCAGTGAGACAGGGATGGGATGCGTGGGGCTGGGATGTGTGGGGCTGGGATGTGTGGAGCTGGGATGTATGGAGCTGGGATGTATGGGGCTGGGATGTGTGGAGCTGGGATGTATGGAGCTGGGATGTATGGGGCTGGGACGTGTGGGGCTGGGATGTGTGAAGCTGGGATGTGTGGGCTGGGATGTGTGGAGCTGGGATGTATGGAGCTGGGATGTGTAGGGCTGGGATGTGTGGAGCTGGGATGTATGGAGCTGGGATGTATGGAGCTGGGATGTGTGGAGCTGGGATGTATGGAGCTGGGATGTGTGGAACTGGGATGTGTGGGGCTGGGATGTGTGGAGCTGGGATGTATGGAGCTGGGATGTATGGAGCTGGGATGTGTGGAGCTGGGATGTATGGAGCTGGGATGTGTGGAGCTGGGATATATGGGGCTGGGACGTGTGGAGCTGGGATGTATGGAGCTGGGATGTGTGGAGCTGGGATGTATGGAGCTGGGATGTATGGAGCTGGGATGTATGGAGATGGGATGTATGGTGTTGGGATGTATGGAGATGGGATGTATGGAGCTGGGATGTATGGAGCTGGGATGTATGGAGATGGGATGTATGGAGCTGGGATGTATGGAGATGGGATGTATGGTGTTGGGATGTATGGAGATGGGATGTATGGAGATGGGATGTATGGAGCTGGGATGTATGGAGATGGGATGTATGGAGATGGGATGTATGGAGATGGGATGTATGGAGCTGGGATGTATGGAGCTGGGATGTATGGAGATGGGATGTATGGAGCTGGGATGTGGGTGGGATTGTGGATGTATGGAGCTGGGATGTGTGGAGCTGGGATGTGTGGAGCTGGGATGTATGGAGCTGGGATGTGTGGAGCTGGGATGTGTGGAGCTGGGATGTGTGGAGCTGGGATGTATGGAGCTGGGATGTGTGGAGCTGGGTTGTGTGGGCTGGGATGTGTGGAGCTGGGATGTGTGGAGCTGGGATGTGGGAGTTTCTCCCTCTGAAGTGGGAGGGTTCTGAGAGCTGGAGCTGCTCCAACAACAGCAGTGGTAGGAAGGGACAGGTGAAGGTTGACCACATCCCTGCTGGTCTTTGCTCTTCCCTTTGCTCCCTGCAGGATACAGCCAAGCAAAGGCAGATCCATCAGGATGCGATGGAGGAGAAAGGGATGCAGGGGGGTTTCCTGAGCTGCTGCAGGCCCAAAGCAATGGTCAGATCCCAAAGTGTGGATGGAAGCAGCTCAGCTCTCCTGGGCTCCATCCCTGCTGCTAGCAGGGACTGGGAAGCCTGCAGGAGCCCTGCATCGCAGGGCAGTGGGGCGGCTCCTGCCTACCCGGAACAGCAGCATCATGAATTTCCACTTACCACAAAGGGTGTGTTTTGCCTTTGTTTTCTGGAGCGATCAAGCTGGTGCTTGAAGGCAAGAGAAAACACTTTAACTTCTTGATAACAGCATGATTCTGCTTTTTATCAGATGTCACATATTTGGTCTCGGTATCAGAGGCACTGGACAATTAGTGGCTGAATAGCTGGGTAAGGAAGGGAAATCAGGGCGGCTGCAGGGACAAACACTCTGCCAGCGTTGGTGTGGGTGGGTGCAGCGATAGGGGAAAGGGGTGTCTGGAGCAGGGACTGGGCACGGCTCCCTGCTATATACACCCTGTCCTGGCCACGGTGATGCAGGAGCTGCCATGGAGCCACCAGCACCCAGGGCTGTGCAGTGCCTGGTGCTGGCCCTGCTCTGCCTCCAGCTCGGGCAGGGGATGGTGAGGTGAGCCCGGGGTGGGTGCCAGGGCGCAGGGTCTGGTCTTGGTGCATGTGGATGGGTCCATTCAGCACCTTGGTGCCATCTCCATCCCGCGCAGGATCCCCCTGAGGAAAGGCAGGTCCATGCGGGAGGTGATGCGGGAGAAGGGGGTGCCGGAGCGTTTACTGATGGACCTCAGAGGGGACCCTGGTAGGAAATACCAGCTCAGTGATGCTGTGGCCTATGAGCCGCTAGTGAACCACCTGGATGTGAGTATTGAAGCTTTTCCTTCCTCCTCTGGGCCATCCGGTTCTGGTGTTTGGGAATGTCCTCCTCCTTTCCCGGCTGCTGCAGGAAGCTCCAGCTCTGCTGCGTCCCCAGCCAAGGGGCTGCAATGGGCATGGGCAGTTCTGCTGTCTCTGTAGCCTGGCTCTGAAGCATGGGTGATGTTGGGAGCCAAGCACATCTCACCCTGAATCGGTTTCCCTTCTCAGAAGAAGCAGATTGTGATGGTTATAGAAGATCTGCTGCTCCTGGCCTTCGTTGTAGGCAAATCACTGCCCCTTTCTGTGCTTCAGCTGCCCTGGAAGCACTTGGGGACCAGGAGCCCTCCCAGTTTGGGTTTCTCAGCTCGCAGATGGCAGAGAGCTGAAAACTCTCATTCAGAAGAGCAGCCAGGAACAGCCTCTCTTGTTCACAGTCCTTCTACTTCGGGGAGATCAGCATCGGGACCCCCCCGCAGCACTTCCTGGTGCTCTTTGACACCGGCTCTGCCAACCTTTGGGTGCCCTCCACCTACTGCCAGACCCCAGCGTGCGGTGAGCATCCCTTGGGATACAGCAGAGCCAGGGCCAGGTACCCCCTTCATGTCCGGGGCTGGAGCTATGGCAGGGAATCCAGTGAGAGCCGATGGGGTTTGTCCTCTACTCGGTGCCACCGGTGGGGCTGGCTTTGCATGGCCCCTTGCTGGGGACTGGGATGCTGATCCAAGGGCAGGATGTGACCGGGGGGCTTCTCTCCATGCAGTGGATCATGCCAGGTTCAACAGCAGCCTCTCAACCACCTTCTTGGGCATCGGCGAGACCTATACCCTGAGCTATGGGTTTGGTGACCTGTCGGTGGTGTTGGGGTCCGACACTGTGACAGTAAGTGACTTCCACGTGTGCGACCCGGGTAAGACGTGGCTGCGGTTGTGACCCATCTCGTTTGGTGATGAAATGTCAGGGGGAGCTGAAAGCACCTTCTTGGTCTGGATATGGGTGCCTGAATCTCCCATAGGGCATAAACTTACTTGGAGACTGGGGTTTGCAACCAACTCAGTCTGAGCCCCTAGGCTTTTCATCACTGCTTTGGGTTAAGGGATATCTTTGGCCATCTTTTTACACTGATGGCTGAGCTTTGTCATTGCAGGACATAAGAAATGAGACCTGCATGCAGTGAAAATGGGGTTTTTAAACTAATTTAACTAATTTTGGGGGGTATTTTTGTGGAATAATAAGGGTGATGGGACAAAGGCTACAAGCCATCCCTCAGCATCTTTCCTCTCCCTTTAGATCCAGAACATTGTCATCAGCAACCAGGAGTTTGGCCTCAGCCTGGATGAACCCACCAGACCCTTTTACTACCAGGACTTCGATGGGATTTTGGGCATGGCTTACCCAGGTGTTGGCATCCCTGGTTACAGCACACTGATGCAGAGCATGCTGCAGCAGAGGCAGCTCGCTGAGCCCATCTTCAGCTTCTACTACTCTCGGTGAGACCGCAGGTCTCTTCCATAGGCACAGCTTGGATCTGTCCTTTCCTTCCTCCCACTTTATGCTCCACAGCTGTCTCCTGAGCACCCTGCCTGAACTTTGGGGTTAATTTTGTGTCTTTCCAGCAACCCAACATACAGTTATGGTGGGGAAGTCATCCTCGGAGGGGTTGACCCCCAGCTGTACTCAGGGGAGATTTTATGGGCTCCTGTGGTCCAGGAATTGTACTGGAAGATCAGTATTGAGCAGTAAGTGCTGCAGCATGGCTTAGAACGGGGCTTGGAGTGTGTATGGGGGCTTTTCTGATGCCTTTTCTGCTGCTTTCTGCAGGTTCTCCATCGGGCTCTCAGCCACCGGCTGGTGCAGCCAGGGCTGCCAGGGCATTGTGGACACGGGGACGTTCCTGCTGACCGTGCCAGGACAATTCCTGTCAGCGTTCCTGCAGGCGCTGGGTGCGGAGGAGAGCGACTACGGGGTAGGGCAAAGGATGCCATGGGATGAGGAAGCGTTTGGTGGCAATGCTGAGCTGCGGAGGGCTCTCAGCATCCCTGCCCCTCTTTGCTTCTTTTGCAGTTCAGCATCAACTGCAGCGACGTCCCGAGCCTGCCCCCCCTCTACTTTGCCATCAGTGGGGCCCAGTTACTGCTGCCTCCCTCTGTCTATGTGTTAAACGTATGTGTG